GCTGCTGCTGCTGCTGCTGCTGCAGGAGAGGCAGCGGGGGCTGCTCAGGGCGAAGGAGACGCCAAGCAGCAGCAGCAGCAGCAGCAGCAGCAGCAGCAGCAGGAAGAAGGAGACAGCAGCTCTGAGTATACTGAGGATGACATGGACCCAGAGGAGGGCTGGGTCACCGAGGAAGTGCTGCGAGCCCATTTGGGCCTCAAGGCCCCCTCGGGGGCCCCCCTGGAGGCCCCTTTGGGGGCGCCACAGGCTCTTGGGGAGGCCCCTGAGGGGGCCCTTCCCGGTTCTCTCCCTGAGGGGCCCCCTGGGGGTCCCCCTGTGGACGGGCCTGAGGGGCTTGCTGAGGGGGCCCCCTCGGGGAAACCCTCAGGGGCCTCCTCAGGGGCCCCTGAGGGGACATCGGGGGCCTCGGGAGCCCCCTCGGGGGCCCATGAGGGGGCATCGGGGGCCTCGGGAGTCCCTTCGGGGGCCCCCTCTGGGGATCTCTCTGGGGCCCCCTCGGGGACCCCCTTGGGGGCCCCCTTGGGGGGCCCTGGGGGCGCGGAAGAGGCGGAGGTGGAGAGTGTTGCTGCTGGTTTTGAGGGTTTGGAGTTGAGGGCTGCGGAGCAGAAAGTGGAGGAGTTGGTGCAGTGCATGACAACAGACTTTTCAATTCAAAATGTGCTGCTGCAGATGGGGCTGGGGGTAGTGGCTGTGGACGGGCGGAAGATAAAGACGGTGAAGGTGTGGGCGCTGCTGTGCAGGTGGGGTTGTTGTGTTTCTGCACTTTCGGCTTTTTTGTAGTTATGATGCCTCAACAGTTGAAATTTAAGTTTATTTCTGAAGTTATTCTGCTGCTTGCATGCCTTTGAGCGTTTACAGTGTGGTTGCATGCTTGTCGTGCATGCATCTTCGTACTTGAATGCATGTTTCACTGGAGATGCACAGGATACAAGTAAATATGTTTATATATTTGTTTATGCACACTTTTCGTTTGAGTTATACAAAATATACTCAATATATCTGAATATATGATGTATATATATATATCTACTGGCCACAGCCATCTATGCGAGTGTGTATGCATATTTGTGTGCTGAGACTGCCAGTACAAGATGTAAAAGGTACATTTGCGCACAATAAATGTAAAAAGTAAATTCTCGCACAATAAATGTGTATCTTTTGTGAATTATTCCGGCAAGTCTTGCATGCAAGAAGTTATGGAAATGTCCATGCGCCCGACATGTGCACATTTTGCATCAGTTCGGACCCAGCCTCACAGGGCAGTTTGTTGCACTGGATTGTCTTCAACTGACATGAGCGCTGCCGAAAGTTTCCATTTGCTTTTAAAATTTATTCAGAGTTTTATTCTCCAACTGGCTGTCCTTGCTGATTTGTCTCAGTGGCTGTTTCTGTGCATGCAGTATCTGAATGCATGTGCCCTGCTACTTGGATTATTTAAGAAAACACTAAGAAATTAAATAAAAGAAACCCTTTAACGCATCTACTAAGGAAACACGTAAATAGACACATATCTAAACATATTTATGATATGAATTGCCGCAAATTCGGAAAGAAGGTTGAATTTGCAAAGTACTAAAATGCTTCACTGCGCACTCCTTGTAATCAGCATAAACAGAATATCCCCAAAAGTGCGCTTTTCGCTAGCTTATGGGTGCCTAGATGTCAAGAAAACACTTGGTGCTAGCCTCTGAGGGCCTAGAGGATACTTATTGCTGTTTATAAGTGCTTACAGGCAAAAGAAGGAGATTAATTAGTCTTTGAATTACTTGAGGTAAAGGCTGTCTGCGAATTGTTTAAGGGGAATCTGAGCATTATGAGGCGGGAATTTCAGAAGAGGGCTACACTCAGTGTCTACAGTTCTGTACGAGATGTGCATATTAATTGTATTTTATGGAATGTTTTCTCTTGCGCGGATTGCATGCATGCATGCATGCATGCCGCATGTTTTGTGACGAGTACACGGACGCCGAATGTGCGCATTAATATAAAGTGCATGCAATTCCATATTTTGCATTGTTTCTATAATGCATCTTTTTAATGAGAACCTCTCTTCCAAAGCTTCAAGGGCCCTGCTTTCAGGGGTTAGGGTTTAGGGTTTAGGGTTTAGGGTTTGATTTGCAGGGCCTGCGGGCACATAGAGCGGAAGACACGGCTGCTGTTTTGCAGCAAGTGTGGCCACCACACTTTAGAAAGGGCCCCTCTTTATTTCGACAAAGAAACGGGGAAGGTATTTGTTTTTGATGGCAAGAGAAAGTTTTCCAAGAGAGGCCAGATATACACTATTCCGAAAAACAAAGGAGGCAAACACCAGGTCAATCTCTAAACCCTAAACCCCAAACCCCGGAGGCTGGGAGCTCGCTGCTTGCTAAGGGAATAGATGAATAACAAACCCTAAAAGAAAAACACTTATCAATTTGTGCATTCTGATCTATGCACTTTTGAAGGAGTATTCTTTTTTAATTGATTTCTAAATGCATGCATAGCCCCGCCGGCCTTGATGTGGAAAAGGTTTAGGGTTTAGAGAAGGCATATGTGCAACTATGTCCGTAAATGGACTTCTGTACGTTCCTTTGCAGCACCTTTATATACTCGCAAACTATAAAGACATATTTTACACAATTAATAAGTAACACATATTTATTCATGCTGTTTCGATACATATTCTGATGCTTATATAGCGGCACAAGAGAGCTTGCAGTTTCTTGCAAATAGCGCGGGTGTCTTTAATTCGTCTTTGTCGCATTACAAGTTTCTCAATTTGATGCTTCATTTTGTTTATTCATTTTAATTTTTCTATTGTGTGCAGAGGCCGATCATTCTGGCAGCAGATCAACTGATGATGGGGGGCCTCAACCGCGAGCTGCGCCACAGAGAAAAGCTCTGGAAAAAAGATGTAGAATCTAAGAATCCATTTTCGCCTGTAAGTGGGGATCAGGACTTTGCCTTTAAGGTCTGGGTTTTGAGGATCAGGGTTCAGGGTTTGGGCGAAAGCTTGCACAATGGACCCCCCGGATGCGCCACCCTTTTTCCTTGATTTCCCAACTCAGGGTTTAGGGTGTAGGGTTTAGGGTTTATGGCTTGCGAGTGCAGAACTACTGCCTAGAGGCCCAGAGCTGGCACATGAGGGCCTTTACGGCTTCTGGCAGGGCTGCTGCTGCGGCGCCCCCAAGAGTGGTGGTGGGGCTGGGACCTGGGAACCCGAATTCAAACAGATGGGTGAAGAATCACAACAGAAGTCGAAAATAGGCAAATATTTTTTGAAGAATGTAAAAAGCGAATAGAATTCGCATTAAAATTACGGCAAGAACTGCAAATTTTAGCGGTGCAGGCGGGGCGCTGCTTTATTCAGCTTTCCAGGTTCTGCCTCCTCAACAGGCAGACAGGAAGCTAACTGATGGATTCCTCAATGATATGAAAACAGAGTAATTGTTGAATGCGAAACAAACAAGAAACAAAGCGAGCAATTTACGCCAAATAGGGAGCCGTTTAAAAGTGCCGACAGGTAGAGCAGAGAGTTGAAGGAAAGCAACAAAAATGAAAGCGTTTTAGGAAGAAACAAAGAACTGCCTTTCCTGGCGAATAAGCAAACCTGCAATTTTATATGCACTTCTTGTTCACTCTGCCCTGCTTTTGCTTTCTTTTCATGTTAAGAGCAGCTTTTAGCCAGGTGTGCCGTGCCTTTTCCCACTAGGGATCGTGGTGCACGGGGTTCAATCCAGGGCAGATGGGGGGCGATTTAGAATTGGGAGAAAAGAAAATTAGGGTTTAGGGTTTAATGTTCCAAGTTATTTTGGCTGAAGGCTCCTCTGCTGGCCGTTGCAGCTTTAGCTTTTGCTTGCTGGCTGTTGTTGGAGCAGGTTTCCGCAGTGAGTTCAACCTAGCTGTAGCGCTTTGCGGCCATTTGGTCGGTGAATTCAAAGAGTAAAAGTTGTTTTATTTCATCATTGCAGCTTTATATTGTTCTTTAAGATCAGTTCTTAGAACACCGGCGCGCAAGCAACGCCGCGTGAAACAATAACGTCATTAAGCATGTATGAACACAGCTGCACCTACAAAAGGTAGAATTCGTGCTAATTTCTTCCAAATAGAATCTTTACAACTCAGTTTACTGCAGTGTCAGTCTCACCAGTTGCGGCTGTGGAAAAGTTCTGAAAAAGAAGACCCGCGGCCGACTGGTTTCGTGGTGGTACTTTTCTGAAAAGTTGGACTTGAACTGCGCACCTGTTCTGGGGTTTGAACAAACTTACACGGGCAAAAACTTTTACTTTTAAAATAAAAGGCATGAAAAAAATAAATGCAGATTATGACGAGCCATCGTTTTAATGCTTATTATCCCTCGAGGAACACAACAACCCCCCCGAAAGCCACGGCCGACACTGGGGGCTGCATGAGGCTGCGTTTTCCCGATTAGCCCCTAAGATTGCTCCAAACCTCACTATATTATATTTAATTTAAGGTTACAACTAAACAAGAAAAGCAATTTAGTCAGCGCGGCGTGCAGGAGCCGATCGGCGTTGCCGGCATGACTCGTTGAATCTGGCCAGCAGGTACATTTGGCTTTTGTCTTTCTAGCACTGCAGCGTCCCCGGGCTCTTTGGTTCTTATACACAAAATAAATATAATGAGAAAGGTCTCAAATCCCAAACCCCAAACCCTAAACTGACCCCTCTCGCCTGTGGGTGGTAGGGGGGCGGGGGTGGGGCTGTGTGGAGCCCCTGCCAATTAGCTGCTTCTACCCATGGAGCAGCGGCAGCACGAGCAGCCCGAAGGGCCTCCTTTCCACGCCTCAGCAGCAGATGAGGCGCACGGGGGCCCCCACCAGCCCACTGCAGCGGCAGCAGCAGGAGCAGCAGCAGCAAAGGGAGCAGCGCCCAATCCGCAGCACGAGGCTGACCCTCCCCGCAAGCGGCGACTGCTGTTCCCCAAGGCCCGCCCGAAGAAGATGCAGGAGTTCTTTGGCCGGAGGCTGAACTCATCAGGCGAGGCCACAGAGGGCGCCAAGTTCCGTGCAGTAGAAATCACCCAGCAGCAGCAGCAGCAGCAACAGCAGCAGCAGCAGCAGCGATGTGACGCAGTGGGAGGGAGTGTCTGCGGCGAAGACTCTTTCGAGGCCGCAATGGCAGCAGCGGGGGCCGTGGCTGCTGCTGCTGCTGCTGGGGCTCCGGCACCTTGCGGGGGCACCATAAAGCATGAGGGTAGTGAGTTTGTTCCTGGAAAACAAATTAAAGAAACTGCGACTGAGTCCCTCGACTCCGCCTTCTCCTCAGTGACCACAAGGGCCCAGTCAGCAGAGAGCTGCTCCTCAGCCTCCACAGCTTTCGGGCCTGCAGCAGCAGAGCCAGAGCCCCCGCCTTCCCCCAAGAGGCCCCCCCTGGGGGCCCCCAGCCTCCAGGGGCCCCCCGGGGGCCCCCCTGAGGAGGCTTTCCGGCCTCTGCCCCCTTCCTTCGCCAGCCCAGAAAGTGCAGCAACGAAGCTGCTGGACTCTTCCTGTCTGGGAGTGCAGCGGCTCACGCTGCAGACCCCCACAGCGAACTCAGGGGGCCCCGGGGGCCCCGGGGGCCCCGGGGCCCCAGGGGCCTCGGGGGCCTCTGGGGCCCCGGGGGCCCCCGAGGGTGCAGGTGGGGGGGCCCTCGGGGCTGGGGGCGGCCGGCGGAGCCCCCCTGAGAAGAGGCCGTCTTCAGGGGCCTGCGAAGTTGAGGAGGCGGAGGTGCTGCATGCAGCGGAAGAGCTGGGAGACGGGGGCCTGGGGCCCCTGCAGAAGGCAGAAGACTTTTCTGGAATTCCCCTGGGAGTGAGGCTGGAGAGTAAAGCAATTAAGCAGAAGTTGCACGGATGTGACGAAGTGGTGGGGTGTCTATACAGCTGCGGGGGCTGCGAAGAGCGCGTCAAGGTGTGGGACGATCTTGTGAAGCCTCACTTCATTTCCATTTTGAAAGACACGAACGCGCCGGTGGTTGCGAAGACTGTGGAGCTGCTGCAGGCGCTCGTGGGGGAGGAAGCTGCTGCTGCACCCTTTCCTGCTGCTGCTGCGCTGCCGCTGCTGCAGCAGCACGGCCGCCAGATCCTCTCTCAGGTGCTTCCAAACCCCCGACACTTCTCCGGCTGCTGCGGGGTGCTGCTGCGGCTCAGCGGGGCTTCTGCTGCTTGTGCTGCAGAAGCAGCAGCCCTCGTGGCAGCAGCAACTCAGTCCTTGTTGGCTGAAAAGAAAGGCAATGTTGCTGCTGTCAAAGGCCAGGCTCTCCGAGTTGTGGGCAGCAGCCTGGAGCTGCTGCTCAAACTGCTGCAGTCCTACGGGCTGCAGTTTGTTGCTGCTGTGGGGAGCCTCCAAAATGTGGTGAAGACTATTTCACCCTTTGCTGCATGCAGCGACAAGCGGGTCCGCAGCGCCGTGGCCACTTTGGCTGCCACGGCGGTGCACCTGACTGCTGCTGCAGTGGGAGCCCCCGCAGCAGCAGCAGCAGCGGCGGCTGCAGCAGCAGCAAAGAAGGCCGTTCTGGAGGGTTTGAAAGGCAGCAAGTCCATGCAAGCTGAAGTCGAAAAACTCATTGAACAGTTTGCTGCGCAGCCGCCCCCCGCCCCACACCTCTCTATAGCTGGGATGGCCAGCGAGGGCCCCAGCAGCAGCAAAACGCATGCAGCAGGGCTGGGGGAGGGAGGGTGTGGGGCCCCACTTGCTGCGGGGCTTCTGGCTGAGACAGATGTGCTGAAGGCCGTTTGCCAGCAGCAAACTGACTGGGTAATCCGAGTCACAGAGGGGACGCAGCCAGCAGCAAAAGGGGAAAGAGAGGGCAATGAAGAGCCTCCTTGGAAAGTCAAGTTGCAGGCCTGGCAGCAGCTCGAAGCCGTGAGGCTTACACCTACTCGGCGATCCCTGCTGCTGTTCTGGTTCTGCTGCTGCTGCTGCTGCTGCTCTCGCTCTGCTGCTGCTGTGCGTGCTGCTGCTTGTTTTGCTCACCCAGCTGTTGGTTAGCTGCGGTCGAAGCAGCTGCTGCTGCTGTATACAGAAAGTTGCACTGGTAGAAACTTCACCTCTTACTCTGCCACTGCTCTTATTTCAGCATCTTTTCGCTGCTGGTGTTACTGCTGCTGCTGCTTTAACGGAGCAGCAGCAGCAGTGCTTTTTGTCAGAGTATTATCCCTGCTGCTGCTGCTTCTGCTGCTGCATGCGCGTGGTTTCCTTGCTGCTCCTCTCTCTTGTTATTACAAAAGAATGGGTTTATTTTGTTCGCTTCTCTCAGGCTCTGCGAGATTGTAGCTGCCTTTACAAGAAAAACCCTTTCTTACATCAGCAGCTGCTGCCGCTGATGCACCGCACACTGACAGCTGAGCCAACGCTCCCCGTGGTGACTTGTGCATTGAAGACGCTGCAGCTGCTGGTGCAGCTGCTGCTGCAGCCGCAGGGCGGCGATGGGCCGCAGCAGCAGCAGCAGCTGCAGCAGCAGCTGCAGCAGCAGCTGCGGGGCCTGCTGCCGGACGCGCTTGCGAAGCTGAAGGTGAACAACCGGCCCGTGCAGTCTGCTGCATGCACATGCATTGGCACGTATTTGTCGTGCATTCCCTTAGATGTGGTGGTGGGGGACTTGCTGCCAATTAAAGAAAAACTTGCCCACTACCAGAAGCTGCTGCTGGACGAGCTCACCAAGGCCACGGAGCAGCAGGGGGGCCCCACACCGGCGCTGCAGAAGGCTGCTGCGCTGCTGCTTGCTGCAGGGCGAACAGCAGCAGATGACGGAAACGCAGCAGTGAGGGCAGCGGGAGTTGCCCTTATTGCTGCAGTGGCGAAGCACGCGCAAGGCTTTGCTGCTGTGGGCGACGCGCTGCAGAAACTCTCAGAGCCCAAACGCCAGCAGCTACAAAAGGCCATAGCCGCGCATGCTGCAGCAGCAAAAGGGCCCCAGGCCCCTGTCTCCTCTCCGCGCCGCGCGCTGCTGCACGGGACTGCAGCTGCAGCTCCAGGCGTCCCCTTTTCGCGCATGCGGAGCCGCGGCGCTGCAGCAGCAGCAATGCCAGCAGCAGCAGCAGCAGCAGCAGCGCAGGCCGCTGGTGCCGCCGCTCCCGGTGCCTCAGCCGGCGCAGTGACCAGTGGTCCACCAAAGACCACTCTCCGCAAGCAAGCTTCTCTAGGCTGCCTCAGCGCGAGGGGACCCCTGCGGCGGCCTGGTGGCGCTGCAGCAGCAGCAGCAATGGGGGGCGGTGGAGCCTCCAGCTCAAGCGCTGCTTCTGCTGCAGGGGCCCTGTGGGAAGCCCCGCATGCAACCATTGGGCCTGAAGAGGCTGAAGCCCGGACGCGGGAGCTGCTGCCTCTCGAGCTGCTGCAGGGCTTTGAGGCAGCTGCGGGGCTGGAGAGGAAGAGGGCCTACAAAGCGCTGGAGACTTGGTGCCGCCGCCCGTGCGACTGCAGCAGGTGCAGAGCCGCGCAGGGGCACATGGAGACAGAGGAGGGGCCCAGCAGCAGCAGCAGCAGCAGCAGCAGCAGCGGCGGCTGCAGACTTGCTGCGTGCCGCCAGTCAGCTGCCCACATACTGCTGCACCTGCGCTTGAAGTCGAAAGGCTTTAAAGAGAGGACAGCTGCTCTTGAAGACGCATGCATTTCTTGTCTTCAGGCCGTCATCGGAGGTCTGCTGCTGCCGGAAGAAGTTTTTGCAGCAACAGCAGCAGCAGCAGCAAAAGAGCCCGCCAACTCCGCGGGCTTAGCCACCCCCAGGTCGCCTAGCTGCAGAGAGCGAGAGTTGCCGGCAGTTGACAAATCTGTTGTCAATCTCGTGCTGGAGCCCCTGGGAGACCGCCTGGGGGATCCTCGCGTGGGTGGTCCAGTCATGACCATTGGTCTCCTCCTGGCCAAGTGCGTGGACACGCCGACCACTGTTGCAGCTCAGCTGGCGCTGCTGGCCGAAGGCCGCGTGGGAGGGGGCAGGATCATGCAGGGGATCTGTTTGCTGCTGGAGCAGCTGCTGCAGCAGTGGGGCCTGCATGCATTCAACCCACCGAAGCAGTTGCTCATGATTGTCCGGCAGATGCTGGAGCCAAACAAGGTGGGGACGGCAAAACTGAAAATTAACCTAAGACCAAAAGCAGCGCATGCATGCATTTGCTTTTCAACACCACTGCCCTCACGAGCTCCGGCAGCCTGCGAAGACTGTGCCCCTCAGAGGCATTTCACTGCCATTTGGTCTTGTACTTATTTTAGCTTTTGTTTGTTTTACTTGGGTTCTCACAGGGGCCACGCTCAGTAGTCTTCCCCCTCCTCAAACGCCTCTACCTCGAGCTCGGAGACAAAGCAATGACTGCTATGCTTGTTGCCCACCCCCTGCCGGACGAGGTGAAGTACGCCTTGAAGCAGCAGCGGCAGCAACAGCAGCAGCAGCAGCAGCAGCAGCAGCATCCAGTTCCTGTCGAGGAGTCGGGGCCGTCTTGGGGCGCTGCGTTGGCTGCAGTCAGTGCGGGAGCAGCAGCAACTGCATCTGCAGTTGCTGCTGTCGCCACCGCCGACCCTTCCAGTTCAGCCAGGTGTTCTTGTGTCTCCGTGGCGCCGCACATTACCCCTGAGCTGCTGCAGCGGCTGCAGCAAAATCAAGACGAAGAAACAGTCCTAAGGGCGATCAATGAACTCTTGAACATATTTGTTAACAAGGCGGGACACAGGGTCAAACCTGAGGGTATGCACTGTCTTCTTCAAGTCCACACAAACGTTTATGACTCTGCCAAAGTTTCCAACAAGTGTTCCCTAACTCCTTTTGCAAGTCTCTTTTCTTGACATCCCCCCGACTGTTCACCCCAGGAGGAGCCTTTCCTTACTGCCGCAGCCACATAAGGCACTGCTGCACTTCTCGCTGTTGCTGCTACTGCTGCTGTCGTTTCTGCTTCTGCTGCTATTATTTTCTCTTCTTTTGTTTTCGTTTCTGCTGTGTTCAACTCGACTGCTTCAACACAACGGCGCAGTGCTCCTGATGTTTTGCTGCTGCAGTACCTCAGCTTCCCTATGCTGGTACCTTTTACCTCTTGCAGCTGTGGAGATTGGGCGTTCGTGGATTTCTGCACATTTATGTTGAGTTTAAGTTTATAGTTTTCATTTGCTCTGTTCGTTGTTTTCTTTGTTTGTCTATATCATCTTCATCATTTCAGGGCTCAGTGGTCTGGTCTCGCTGCTGCGCAAGCGTCTTGGCGACCCCAGTGCCTCTGTGCGCCGCCAGCTGCTGCTCTTTTTGGTTGTTTTCTGTGATCGGCTGAGCCCTAGAGCTCTTAAGGAGGGAGACAGTTCATCATCTCCACTGAGTGCTGCACGCGTCTACAAGCAGATGCTGCCGGCGGCTGCTGAGTGCCTCGGCGACTCTGACAAGAAGGTCAGTAGCCCTCCCAAGTTATTGGAAAACGAGAATACTTAATATCTCTATCAGGCGGCCTGTTTCCTATAGAGATTTGAAGAAATAATGGAGGAACTAAGCCGTTTCACACCGCTTTGTCTCTCGCAGCACCACACCACAGATATCCTTGGTGTCATTTTGGGGAATCCCAAACAAAATCCGATTACCTCGGTTTTGGTTGTGCAATTTCCTGTTGCGTGCTGCTTCTGACTAGATATTCCATTTTAGTTATTTAATTTTGAAGCGAAATTCTTGGACTTCTTTAGCTTGCGTCCTCCCGCTTTACATTTCGCAGGTCATGCAGGCAGCATACATCGCGACGGCCAAGTGGATGGTCGCCTTGGGCCTCGAGGATTCTCTGGCTCTGCTGAGCCCTTTCCTCTGCAGCAACAGCAACGCAGCAGCAGCACTTTCTGCAACTCAGAAATCGTCCGCTGGAACGGTCTTGCGGCGACCCTTTGCTGTAGCCTCGTCAGGCTGGAACTCGCAGCCCAAGACCCCCAAGATAAGAGACACGCTGTTCTCGCTGATGGCTCTTGTCATGCCGGTGGATCCATCTCAGCAAGGACTGCTGCTGTTGGCTCTGGTGCCTCACCTCTTGGATGCGCTGCAGCCTCAGCAGCGCAGCGACAGCCTTGTGAGCTCTTCTGCTGCTAGCACACTGTTGTCGCTAGTCGCACATGAAGCTGCTTCGCCCGAAAGCATTGTAGAAGTGATGCAGCAGCGGACTACAGGGCATGGGGCGCATGCAGCTTCTGCTCTGCCGCCCGAGGCTGCACTCAAGCAGCTTCTCATACCGGCCGAGAGCCTCGCGCTGCTGCTGCGGGCGCGCCAAGAAACAAGGGCCTCTTCACAGAGTCCTCTTTTAAGGACACTGCCGTTGCCTACCAAAACAAGCAGCAAAACACCGCATCTGCAGCAACAGGAACAGCAAGAGCAGCCAAAAGGGGAGGATGTCGTTTCCGAGGAATCGATCCAGGCGACAACGCCGGCTATCATTGCAGAAGCTTCAACAGCAATCCCTGCTGCCGAACTTAGCTCTGTGTTACTCTCGACGCGTTCCCAGCGGATCCATAGAAGTAGCGGAGCCGGTTTCGTCACTGTTCGCCGGCAGCCTTTTTCTGTGCGAGAGGAGCTGCACCAAGAGCTGAAAAACCGCTTTGAATCCAGTCTTCTGCTACTTATGTTTCCTCCTTCCAGCTCTTCAGCCACGCAAAACAAGCAAGCGGTGCCGGAGCTGTCCCAGCTTAGGGCCATTTACGATGAGTGGAAACGAATATTTGACCCTGGCAACAACGCAGCGGCCTCATCAAGAGAGGATGGGTCCCCCATGCCCCCGCTGACGGGGGAACAGAGCATCACGGACATCCTGCTTAAATGGATTGCATTTTGGTAAGGAGCAGAACGCGGGAGCACAACTTTCTGCCGGATCGGAAATCCATTATTTGACTCTGATGCATCTCACTGCCTGCCGTTTCCCGAATTGCAAACCTGCTGTTAGTAAACCGCCAATGCAGCTGCTGCTTTCATGGGCCAATTGTTTCTTTAGCTGATTTCCGGGTTGGCTGTGCAGCATTGCAGAGGTTCAGCAACAGCTTCGGACTGCACAAGCGCAAGAGACCCTCTGCGCACTGCTTCAGATGTTGCAGCTGGTGATGCAGCCATATAACAGCCTTCGGGTAACTTTGGCTCTCTATGAGCAGCAGCAAATCTTGCAGCAGCTGCTCGACCTTGCTTACGCATGCACCACTACTTCCAATGGAAAGGGGGTCCCGACACCAAAGCCAGTGTCGAAGCAGCTCCGCCATCTCGTGCGCGACGCCCTGTTGTTGCTAGCAGCAATTGTGGAGGACCGGCCTAGGTTTCTTTCTGCAGTTCATAGGAGCCTCATTCGTTGCAAGAACAAAGAGTAAGTTTATTTGCCTCCAGTGGATCTACTGTGAGCCGCATTTTTGCCAAGCGTTCAAGTGCCGTGCCAGTTGCCACAGCAATTCTGCCTTCCCTAGTGCTTTTCAGTGCCAGCGCAATATTTCCGGCGATGCTGCAATTGGTATAAATACTGGATTATATTCCGTTGAGAAGAGAGACGTTGTGAGGAGCTGTGAACGCAGGCTGCTCGTTGATTTGATGGCTACAATGGCTCGCGCTTTGGCGCAGCATGTTCAGATTCAGCTTCAATCCAAGGCGCCTGCTGCCTCCTACAATGAGTCTCTAAGTGACTTCCTTTCACAACAATGCGCAGCCCGTTTTTTCTCCCTTCTGACGGACACAAGAGCTTCAAACGAGCAGCGCAGTCTGGCTTTCGACTTCCTCGTTCTGTGCAACTTGACGGTGAAGGGAGGCACCCTACAGTGAGTACTTTCACTGCTGCTGTCAGGTTTAGCAGCTGATTGATGTTTGTCGAACATCAATCGGCCTCGAGACGGAGTCTTGGTCGGCTCAGTTCGTATCTCATTTCTTCATGAAAAACTTATTCAGAATGCGCTGTTTTATTTCATTTTATATGTAAACTCAAGCTTTGCAGCATATCTAGGTATGCGTGCCTGCGCGCAGCTTGCTGCCCTCTTTGACACCTGAGTGTCGGGCGCGTCTTGTGGAAGCTACGAAGCAAATCGCAGCGACGGGACTTTCCCAGAGCCGACTCGACAGCCTGACACTTCGCCAAGGCGATGGCTGCAGCAGTGCAGGCGAGGAGTCCACAAATCCGAACACCGTTGAGGCAGCATTACCGTGTGGCCCACGCTCACAGGTGGCGGGTGAGGCTTTGTGGACAGTACCCGTGTGCAGCTGTTCGCAGTATACCTCATTGTTCAACTTCAGACGGTTACAAATGCGTTGCCCATTTTATTTCGCATAACGAAGTAGACGACTGATGTTCTAATCTCAGACAACAATGTTCTCTATGCGGCCGCTTGTTTCGGTGATTGTGAATGGCAGCACCGGCGGCTGGAGGATTGACGGACGCGAAGCGACCAGGCCCGGACCTCGGCGACACGAACAGCTGCAGCGTTTCCCAAGTAGCAGAAGGTAGGTGGCTTTAGTAGTGATTTCTTCACTTCAGACCGTTGCGCAGGAGCACTGCTGACTAAGCATATCACTTTGTTGCTTCCCCCAGTCGCCCCCTTCTGACGTAAAGATGCCTTCCAGGACTCTCGCATATTTGCCTTGTCGATAGGAACTGGCCTGTGGAGTTGCCTTGTAAGTGCTCAGCATGCAGACCCTTGGGCTTTAGGCTTTGTGGCTACTTGGTCGTTTTTTGTGTATCACAGTTCCTGATGTAGCTGACGAGAGGACTGCGGCCAAGGACAATACCACCGAATGCCTCGCGTCTGCTTTGATGCACGCGGTGGCACAGGCAGATGCGTTGTTGCAGACAAGTGGGGAAGAGCTGCGTCAGCAAGCAGGTGCCCTGGAGGGGTATCTGACGGCAGCTGGAGAACTGCGAATGCAAAACAAATACTCTGACATGGCTCTAGCCTCTCATGTTACGTCAACGGCGCAGGCGGATGAACAGTCGACAGGCGAAGCCGGCGAAGCACCTAAATTTCCTGTTGAGCTGCTCTGCTGTCTTACGGCTCTTAGAACGTGGAGCGCAGAATTGAAACTTAGGTCACTACATCGGGCCGCGTTTGGAGCTCACCTTTTGCTTTTTCTGCTAACAAACGCGCCGCCCAATCCAAACAGCGCTGCAGCAACGGCAGCGACAACAGCAGTTTCCACCGCAGCGCAGTCTGCTGTGGGGGGGGCAGTCTGTGGCTCAGGGGACGGGGTCACCAACTTCCAACACCTAGACCAGCCGACTAACCGTCGTAGCAGCCGCCAGCATATTCAGCTGACATCAGTCGGGGAAACGGTAATCAATGCTCACACCGTCAGTTCTCACATTGTAATGGATGGCATTACACAAGCTCTTGAATTTTTCTTCGAGCCTCAGCATTATGAAGCGCTCTACAGCGCGGGCCTGAGCCTCCAAGGCGCCGCTTCAGCTTTGCTTCTTGCTGAGGCCGTCATTCGCCGCCGCATGCAGCAGTACAGAAGCTCAGGGAGCTCTGCCTCCTCCAAGCAGAAGCTGCCGCTCTGCACGGACTTAAAGTATGGAAATTTGGCGCCACTTCCCGATAAGCAGCCGATTCAACAATGCTGCAACTGCTTGCTTCTCTGCATGGGCAGATACCAAGACTACCTGTACAAGAGCCCAATCGCAGTGAGCTTATAATCTAAAGGACGATTCAGCACAGATAGCTGTTGCGATCTAGTGGTGCGCAATCGTCTGCACTACTAAGCAGTGTCAGTTTGTTTGTGGCTTGAGTGGTGTTGCTATTCTACTCAGATGAACTCACGTCTTGGTTCCGTTCGCTACTTGGTAACATTCTTGCTCAATCAAGTCCTAGGAAGGAGTCTTCTCCAGGGGGACATCCGTATTCTGTGAGTTGCAATTGCTCGCTTACAGTTATTGTTCCCTCTTTGCGATACGACCCATGAAACGACATCAGGAGGGGTGTGCTCTTTATTAGACATGCTGCAGCATGTTACCCTGATGCTTATTGGATCCAGCGATTCTAGGTCTCATCTGACTAAATATATTGCATGGGTGGATTCTGTACATCGTGGGCTGCTTAATTTTTCAGATCGTGTCTCGCTGAATGCTGCTTTTCACAAGCAGCGCGGAACCTCGGCAGCTCTTGCCAGGGCGCCCAGAGGAGGCACACCGAAACTTTATGGCGCCTTGTCGGCAAGATCCATAAGAAGGCAGTTCCGTTGATGGAGGCGCATGCAGCGGTTGCTCTTCGATCCCGGAGGGAAGCCTCGGAGGGAGGATTGTCAGAGGCGGAGAAGCAACAGCAGATCGCACAGGCTCTAAGTATCCTGGAGCTGATAAGTGTGGGTACTCTTCATCTAGCGTTGCAGGAGCAGCGATTTCACGGAGTAGCAATGCCACCAAATAAAATTTTCAGAGTTGCGTAGAGGTGCGAATCAATCCTCATTTGGCCCCTGCCTGTGAATCTGCAGACCGTCATGACATCTCTGTCTCGTCTAGAAGCCGCATATCATGGTTCAAAACTGCTGATAGAGCACCGACACCAGCAGCAAACAGCTATGCAACATCAACAAGAAGTGGAGAAACAAAGACTAGAGATTGCTCAAGACAGTCGGGAAACAGCGCTGAAGACCCTTCGACGGGACAGACTCATATTCGTGTTGCACGCAAAAATCTTCATTCATTCATTTCTCACCTTGTGGTACGAAAAGCCTAAAAGTTGTGCCTGCCGCGTGGACAGTTTAGACGTCAGCCATCTGCATTGCAGATTCTCCAGTAATCACAATACGCTGCAAGTAATAAACAGTTGAATGAGGTTGCCGAGTTAAAGAGGGGTGCACCGCCACGTTTTCCTGGTGGGATCACTTTGCTCGTGCATTGAAAATATGTCCAACTCTTCTGTGTCATGTGAAACTTCACAGCCCAACTCTTTTGCGTGTTCATCTAGAGGCAGTTGGAGTCATGGAATCTGCTGAACGGTGTGAACAGCTGGAACGACTGCTTCGCGGCAGCTTAACGGGAGAGACAGGCGATAGTGAAATGTATTCAGATACGCCTGCATCTCCTGAAACCGATCCTACTGTGCCGCTGCCCCAGGTAAGAGGTGCAGACGAAGCGTGCAGAGGGCTCAGCACCTTCTCTTGCGCAAGAATACCCCGCCAGCCAGCAGCGTACGACGTTCAACAAGTTTTGGCACTTCACCGGCGATTCGTGGAGGAGGGAGAGAGCCGGCGGGCTGACGAGTGCGCGATGCAAGTAGACTCGCCTTCTCCAAACCGCGAAGACGCTTCGTTTACCGTTAAAGCAGTACTCAAGGTAAGTGGTAAAATTCACACGCCAGTGAACACGCTCATCATATGTCAAAGAACGTGATGTTACTCCAAATATTACTGCAGAAGTTCCCCTTGAGGTCCTGCCAAAAATGCCTACAATGCAAGAATCGCAGAGGCGCAGTGTGAAAGCGAAAGCAACAGAAGTTGCCTCTTCCAACTGCCTCTGGTATTACTGCGGCGCCCGTGGCTACGTGCATTTAGGGCGTCGCTAATCAAATGGCGTGAGCAACTCCGCAGTAGCTCGCGCTGCTTGCTCAGTGGCATTCTTCACCTTCTTTGTATTTGCTTTGATCAGGAAAAAGAAACTACGCTTCGCTCGCTCCTTAGCCAGGGAGGGCTCGACCCATCGCAGGTGGGGTGACTGCTGACGTTAGCTTTGACGTTCGCGGACAAAATCGTTTGAATGCACAGCTACGCTTCAGCAGCGACTATTGCTCGCATTGACCCCGTTGCCGCATCTCTTTCAGCCTGGATCGATCCGTGCAACAAAGCACATTTCGTTGCAATGTAGTTCCTCCTCTGGCCTTGCAGTGCAATTTTGCAGAATATGGAACGCCACGAACTCAGTCCCACACCATTCTTAATACCAATGGCGGCTCGCAATGCGTGACTGTTCAGGACAAGCATAAATGCTCTTCGAGTGGCACCGTTTATTGTTGGCCTTTGTTGGGCGGTGATTCAATTGAGCAGCAGCCGTACGATAGCAGCGATGATTTTATGCTACACCCTTTGGTGCGAAAGGTTCAAGAATGCCTTTTATCCCCCGCTGAGCAACGTGCACTGTTGCAGTATCCTTGCGGCACAACCTCACGAGCCTCTGGCCCAAAGGACCCACTGGATCGAAATGGCCTGCATATGCTTCGCTTTTGCGCTGGGACTTCGGCCGCCCTGCCCCATCATAAGCTTGCTACACTGAGGGCTGAGACAGCAAATCGTGACAGCATTCCAACAGACTGGCTTGACCTCGCGGCTGTAGCTCAGTCTTACAAACTTGATCCTCTGCCTTCTCAGGCAGGCTCCAGTGCTTCAGCCAATGCTTCAGCTATCAATGCAGGCTCAGCGGCAGGCTCTCACCCGGAGGCCGCTAGCTGTGATGTTCCCGAAATTACTGATTGTAAGAAAATCCAACACGGAGGAGTGCCACTAAATGCAGGAGTTGTTTGGGGGCCTTCAAGCTTCGAGAATGACGGCAAAAACTGTATGGCGGACCGAGACGCTGCCAATGATTCTGCAGGTCTCAATAGTGCCCAGACTCCTTCTAGGCACTACGACGCCGCTGTCACGGCCACAAAAGGGTCTTTTATATCGAAGCTTGTTAGACCTGCTCAGCAAAGGCCAGGACGGGGCTCTTCTGCGCGTTCTAGCTCCGTGAAAGATATTGATGGCGCCAGCGAAATACCAAGTACCCCCGTGACAGCCTCACGGTTGCCACAATGTTGCGCTACTAGGACCTCTATTCCCACGGCCTCTCCCACAAGCTCACATGAGAGGCATATTCGTGCCTCCAGTGTTACAGCTAGCAAGAGTGCATTCGTCAGGCGCCCGTGGCAACCAGACCAGTCTTGGTGCTCGCAGCCAACTAGTTCAGACGCGCGCTAAGACTCACCCACTCACTCAGCCACTGCACTGCGAAGCTGACTCGTGACCTCCATAATTTTGATGAGCATCTTTCGCGGCGTTAGGAGCTTATGCACTAATTTCGCAGCTTTCACTTCAAACAGTTCCTGATCTACCAGGTGCCCAACCGAAGGCGTTGCCTCGTAGTTTTCCACTGATCCGTCTCAGCGATGCACCGACACAGTTTTTGAAAGACTTTCATAAAAACCCTATTTGGGAGTGCTACAAGGCAGCAAACGCTTGCATATGAATCAAAATTATGTGGTTAATCACGAGAACAATGCAGAAAACTTGGTCTCACCAGCCTGATTTTCGCCGAATAGCTGGTTACCCCGTCCGTTCCGGGTAAAGTGGCTTCTTCTGCCTCCGAAGGCCAAGGAAACCAAAATGCAAGTACCGCATACGTTCAGGTATAAAGCCCTATAGCATTTGACTCTAGCGGCTGGCGTAGGGCTCGTCTGAAAGAATAAAAGCTTAGGGTCCCCCTACCAGGGGGCTCATGGACACTTGAGGACCCTCACGCGTGAGGCTGAAGCGATCTCCTTGGCTGAAAATCTGCCTTTTCTACCAGTATGAAGATGAACCACATGCCCAAGGTCACGCAGCTAGCACATCTCAAAGCATAGGAACTGGGGAGAACCCCAGCCATTGTCTGTAAAGCGGTTACTCGAAGCACAAACTGCTCTGCTCCAAACGCGGAAAATCCACTAGAGACTCAAAGTAACCCTTTCAGGTCACGTATAGCAGATATTCGTCCTTTTTTCGCTCACGGAATCTACAGTAAGCCAGACACTTCAGCGCGCATTCTTCCCCGAAGTATGTCAGAAGCAAAAGTCTGGCAGGAAGGGGAAACGCAGGGAATTTTAGCTATCAAATACGAAGATATACAATATTAAACAATGCTGTATATTTTTTTTCATTGTATGTGGGGTTCGTACATGCATGAAACTGGGGGCTCGTCCAGGATCGGTGGTGCTGCAGCATCGACCCTAGTGCGGCCGTTAATTGAGCGGGCAGCCACACAGTTAGCATGCCCGCGTGAAAGTTTCTAGTAGAGACAAATTACGTTGAACCATAGAAATTTTGAGCGAACTGGTCCTACATTTGTGGACAATACGTGCAGAACTAAGCTGCTTAGCCAAACGACGTGCACGAAAAGCAGTGCACCGCACAGTGGAGAAGTGTCTTGAGGCTACTCTGCAGAACTTGGAGGTTTGACGTGGGGAAAATCCCTTTAAAGCCCAGTTTCAAGGGCAATTTTTTGTATTTGCAAAATGTTGCTCCACAAGAGCTTTCAGGTGGGTAGCGCCGCAAGCGGGAGAGTCCCAAAAACAATCCATGAGCAACCAATGGATTGGATTGGCTCCCAAGAAACTTCTGAATAAATGCACACCTTGCATCCGCTAAACTGCAATTCATAATGCATGGGGCCCTATTATTTCCAGCAATCATCTCCTTCTGAAGGCCAACGCATCGTGTGTTGCCTGCTCCGTGTACTAGTTCCATCCGGGTCAGCTCCTGGGAGAGGGAGAAGGGCGAAGATATCTATGCAAGTCTATAGCCTCACCCGAAGATGCCCGTTCCAACGCTGCTTCCCGTTTCGTTACTTTGGAGAGGTAAGCTATCACAAGGCTGACTCTTACGTTGACTTGCTTGTGAAACAGGAGAATAAGGGATTGAGTCACGCAGAGCTGTTTACGCGAGTGTGTTGGCTTCAATGTACAGAGACAAAGATCCTTGGCGCGATGGTTCAACTCTTCCCATCGCAACCACCCGAGATACCTACAAAAAGGACATTGCAAGTTCTGTGGGTGCTCCTGCATGGGATGTAATGGAGCACAAGGTCCTCAGGTTCTTTGCCTACTTTAACGAGCACGTTGACGAATCAAGACTGGAGAATTACCGCAGCAGGCCTGTCGAAATCTTATACTACCTTGAGGTGGGAATGCTCTGCTGGCTTGAAGCACAACTGAAGTGGGGTCGATACAATTCTGACATAGCAAGTGACTTGCTCTGTTCGAAACAATACTTCGCAGGATGACACTATGGCCGTCGTCGAGCCCAAAATCGACAACAGCGGCATGCGCAGTGGCACATTAATCAAGAGGCATCGTTTCCCAAGGGCAGATGAAACAGAGAAGCTTGTGTCTCCGGCAGACCTGCGCGTTGGCACAACTTTCATTGCATACGGGAAAACGTTTGCACTGACTGCCTGCGATGCATTCACTAGGGTAAGTCATCCCCTTATGTGTTCGAAATACCAATATTTTGGAGTTTTTAATCCCTCGACAGCTGAAAATCTTTTTTGGGAAACGGAAGTGCACTGTTCTTAATGGCTGGCATGCGTTTTCGTGAAGGAGTGGTATAGGAAGTCTGGCATGAGCCAGCCTTCTGACTACAGCTCAGACTTTCCGGGTAGCGTACACCCGAATCAGTTGAAAGACAGCAAGTACGCCACACAAAAGCGTTGCATATTTGCTCGTGACTTGAGCTAGTACAACATTGTTTTGGCGCCAAAGAACACTGGGGGCTTGATAGCCTTCGCACCGTAGGCTGCTTTTGGGCTTTCAGGGGTGATGCATCACTATATGTCAGTGTCAAGCCCACCACAGACGACTTCCACAAGCGCATCGATAGCCCTGAGCCGGTGAGAGTTCATCTAGTTCACAAAGTCAAAGTCAGCACACTATCAGCCTCTGTAGGGAACCAAGGTATAACTAGTTGCTGCTTGCGTGCGAAGTGCAGGTCTGCAGATTTTATGCATACTTCGACGACAATTTCACGAACAAGCTCGAGAGGCGAATGTACACGATATTATACTTTCCCAGGTATTCCTGATGTTCGTAGGCGTGTGACTCCAGGTTTAGGGTTTAGGGCCAACGGCTGAGCGCTGAACGATCAAATCTTATTTTATCGAGAACTGGAGCACATTTTAGTGGGAAATCTCCACGCTTTATTGACTTGATAATTGTTTATTACGCAGAAATAGTACTCTGGAACTCCGAGAAAACCTTCAAGCTAGGGGTGGAACACGTTTTACCGTTTTCATCAGCAGAAGGAAAGTACTTAAGGGTCAGGTGAAGACTTTTGTATTCTAGCATTGTCTCTATAGCCATCTGCCCTCAATGAAATGCCATTTTTGTAGAACTCTTCCCAGCAAGGCTGAGCCAAAACGTTCGAGGGCAGCTTGTCAAAGCGTGCCTCCAGGCATTCGTGCAAGCGTGGGCCCATCAGAACCGCTTCCGCCCGAAACAGCATACTTTACCCTTCAGGATTTCAAGGTGCGGAATCTCAAGTGGCTTTACCATAGGTAGGTCTTGAATAAACTTCCATCCCCATCAGTAGTTCTTCTGCATGGGGCAATCGTTGATTCTTCAGGTTGGGTCAGTCGTGACTATAGCGGATCGCGACTTTTTCATATATGCGGCCGACTCGTTTACCACTTCGTTTGTCAAGTAAGCCAGAATGCATTTTCATTGACGTCACTAGCTGATTTTCGTAAAGGTTACGTGTAGCCTATGCTACTTTGTGGCACCTTTTCCGTGTGCATCAAGAACATCACATGCGACTGCCGGCTCTTACTTTGCAGAGAAACATTGGGAATACAACTTCAAGAGCCCATCAATATTGAAACTGACAAGCTTTTACCTCCTCCTCCGAATTGTGCAATTCGTAGAACTCATGCGCGGCCCAATCTTTTGCAGATAAATAATGAACGCAAGCCTCCACTGTCTTTCAGAGCCATATCTGAACAAAGCATCTGCATTTGTGGTTCTGGCCAAGTAGTACATATACTCTTCTTCCCTGAAGACAACTCAGTTTCTGTTTTCCAGCCCAAAGTGGAATGGTAGGCGTTTATTTCGCGGCTTGTACTCGACTGGCTCATCTCGTAAAATTGGGGCCATGTCTATTTTTCATGTTCGTCCCGAACTCGAGTACATGCTGTTTGTAGGCAAAATTCAACGGCTGGAGAAAAATTGCATCAGAGATCCGTATACTTTAATGAAGATGCTGGGAGGCCATTTCAGGCTAATGACTTTGTCGTAGGGTAGGAATGCCTGTTGCACACGTCCTGCTTTTCCTTTACTGATCCTTTGCAGCCTGCTCATAATGACAGCAAAGCGGTTCCTCGATTTCGCGCAGGTCCGTAGTAACAATTAATGGACAAAGATTTAAAATCATGGGCACCATTGAGTTTCCTGGGGGACATCACGATGGCGAACCAGACCAAGAACGCGTCCTTTTGCACCTTAGGCGTCTGTGGGAAGGTCTTCGTGGGAATGAGATTAAAACGAGCGACATGTTTTCTTCCTGCGATGAGGTTGGGTCCAACTTTATGTAGCTCTTCCTCCTTCGCCTGCTTGTGCTGCGGCATAGCCAAACCTACTCTAAGTATGTGGCGTGAAGTAGAAGCCACCATCGTCTCCAGCTCATTTATGCTTCAGCAACGCAAGGGATTCCTGACGTATCAAGATTTTCAGAAGGGAATGGAGCGCTTTGGCTACACTATCACCGAACAGGTACGGCTTACCGCACATCTCGAAAGCCATGGCTCAGATGACCACACAACTAGAAAGCCATGGCTCAGATTAACAGAGCAGACGCGCATATATGCCAACAAATGCGGACATGCGTGATGTGACAGGACGCTCTTGCCATTGCGAGGTACTTCGATTCCACCAAAGATGGAAAAGTAGACTTCGAAGAGTTTTGCAAAGGAATGCTGGAGCTGCAAGGGCCGTTTTTGGCGAACAGCCAGAGATTAAGTGATGCATTGCACAGTGTAAGGCACTTCCTAGCCGCAGATGGACACTCGTGTGCCAGGCAACAAATTTAAGCCAATTAGAGAGACAGTGCCTCGGCTACCCTGCTCTGCACGCTACTGCAGGACATCAAGGGATACGGAGAGACTGCGAAGGTCGAGTTCACAAAGCTCGAGGACATTCGGGCGATAAAAAGGAGCTTCAAGCTTCTTCAGTGAGTTTTCGCCAATTATTCTCCCATAAATGAGTAGAATGCTCCATAGAAGTTAAATTTGGCTTCTTACACGCAAGTTAACCTTGAGTTGCACTTCTGTCCCGGTGTCTCTGATGCTGCATCGCTTTCGGGCCTTTTTAGGGCGCGTTTGTACCAGCAACCGCGCATGCTTCAGCTGTTGACAAAGGAGTTTGCTCGATCATCGCTTGGGCGGAAAGTGCCCTTAAGTGAGGCGGTCCAAGTTTTCGACCGCTGCGGTAAGAGAATCAACGCTTGTTGGACGTGTGTGCGCACTGCTCATATACCACCTTACAAATGACTACTAGTGGGAATAGCGACGGAAATGCGCGTATGACCCCCCGTTCGGCTTTTCACTCACTACGCTTGTGCACCATGACATGACGAAAATGCCGTGGTGATTGCATGAAGGCTTTGAGCAGTCGCATGAAGAGATCAGATCCATAGTCCAGGAGTTGTTGCCGGGTACAGAAGGTGATGAAATTGACTACATCGACCTCATCAGTGTGAGGCATTGTAGTTTCGCATTCTGATTGGAAATAATTGGCACCTTTTCTCTTTGGTGGTGCAGTAAACGTTTGACAGCTTAAAGCTGAGAAATATTGCCAGTCCCCGTGAGCCAAAGTTTTGTCTCCCATTTTCTACCTTGCAGGCCTTGAAGTCTACGTGCCGCGGAGTTTGAAAGGAATTGCAAAGGCGCAAGTGTCCTCTGCATCAGAATACAACCTCGGATTGCCGTACTAGTGTCAGCTTACATGCTGTCTTCCCAAGGACACTGCGGCTTCTTGCCACAAGCAGAAACTGATGCATTTCATTTTTCATTGTTACATTTCTGAGGAGGCTATACAGACAATTCGTCAATCAGTGACAGCCTGCAAGGAATGCCCAATAGAAAAGTTTTGTCTTCATACTGCCGCCGCTGCGGCAACCTGCGTTTTTATCGACTTGGGAATAGTCTCCCAGCTGGCGCGGGCAGTAGTGGATGTTTCGTGCGTCGTGCAATTTAAAATTGCGTGCACTTTTTCATCTCATCTGTTGACCGAGAGTTTCTGGTTTTGCACTTAGAAGTCATTACAGCATGTCCCGCATACTGGCCTAGTGCGAAAGCACTTTTCTAAAACGTTTGGATGGCTCTTATAGCAGGTTGATTGTATCTCCGTAGCCGAAGCTTACTGCTTCCTAGTCCTAGTGTATGCTTACGGCCTTCTCGGTGGATGGCCATCAACGCGTATCCAAGTGATTATCTGCTTATTTGTTTGTCGTGGAAGCCTTCATCTTGCACAGGTGTCTCTGAAAATCCCTTCTCCAAACGCGCCAACAATGAAGCAACTGGCTTGCTCTCCATTCTGCTGGCTTCGCACTGCGCGCATAGTGCGTCTCTAGTACAATGTAATACTCATATTGGTGCCTTTTGGAAAGTCTTCGTCGCTTGTACAGATCAAGGCGCAACCACTAGAGCTTCAGTAATTGCGAGAAACAAAGTTCTAGTGGCTGCGCCTGGATTTGTACCAGTCACGAAGACTCCTGAGTGATAGGTAGACGAACATAGCGGCGGGAAGAGTTTGCTGCTGTCACTCGTGCACATGTGGAACAGCTTGAGGGTCGCAGAACAATGAGGAATATCGAATGCATTCTGCACTATTCTTCATGTGTGAAGAGACCATTTAATGGGAACTGCTGTAGTATTGCTCTTTACAAAGTTTCGAGCCTCTCAGCTAGGGTGTAGCTTCGGTCAGTGGTCGCATTCGTGTTTGTCCTGCACAGCACACCCAGCAAGGGGCATTGAGACCCTCATCACTCAAGTGACATTGCCTGATGTGCGCTTGCTTTGTGAACACAAAATTGTGGAAAATATTGAATGGTCCATTCCTAAACTGTTCTATTCCTCTTGTATGAGAAGATCGTTTGGTGGGGGCTGCTTGATTATTGCACTTTTGCCGAATCGCTTAGCTAGTATGTAACTTCTGTCAGCTCCTGCTCCCGTGTAAATGACGCATCACGCAGCCAACAGCAAGTAGCTTTGAGGCCCTGGTCCCTCAAGTCACATAGTCTAAAGCGCGTATGCTACATGGACAGTTCGTACGGCACGTTGACAACAACATCTTCTGACCAATGAGGGCATTGAACACTCACAAGATAAACTCCAAGGAGAACATCTAAGCAATTAGTGCTGGTACAAGACATCAGCCTACAGAGGGGATAATAATAGAAGTAAGATTTCAGTAGTTTGCAGAGCTTGATTTGCATCTTAGCAGTTTGTGTGATGTGCACGCAATGGGGCACATCCCGGCTCGCAGTGCTGGGACAAAACGGCCGTTTGCCGAGGGGATAGTGATAGAAGTAATATTTTGGTAGGTTTGAGAGTTTGATTTGCATCTGAGCAGCTTGTGGGATGTGTGTGGTCCTGCATGTGCGCGCGGACCGCTCACGTGCGTGGCTTCAACATTCATGATTGCTCATTACCAAAATGTGCAAGCTATGGAGTAAAATAGAATCCCTATTATAATTTCGATATTGATGGGTACGGCGAATGTGCTGACTGCAGTGGGATACATTGTTCCCCAGCACAGCGGTTCCTCGGTGACCACCCGAGGAGTTGCTTGTCGTTTCGGGTCTTCGCAGCCTGACCACGCGCTACACAATGCAAATTCTATACCAGCTCCATACTAACGATGCATTTTCCACAACATTTTCAGAAACTGGGGGCTGAATGAACCTTCACTGAACGAGCTTCCGGCGTTGTCCCTGGTTTGCTATGCCATGTCCTGCCGTAGGTGACCAGCCAGCCTTTCTGTGGCCTAAATGGAAAACCAGGCAACACTCTCTGCGTCAGTTGACGCAAATGCCTTGAAAATAGTCCTAGATGCGCTGAAAAATGCAAGCTTTGCAGTGGAAGCCCCTGCAGGCAGCTCCTGCGAAGGACTGTGGGGGTTAGTGTCTAGTGATTCGCTGGCTAGTTCCTACTTCTTGAGGTCGCTCTCCATTTCCTTTGGAACTGAGCTGCCTACTTCGCTGCTTCAGTCCACCAAAATCGAGGAAGTCGTGGAGAAGATCACTGAGCTCGCAGCCGGTGCCGACGGAGATCTGCACAGTAGAGATCAGCTGCATGCGATCCATTTGCACCAACAGCCCCCTCGTGTAGCAATTATAAGCGCTTCATGCAGGTTGCCTGGGGGAATCGAAACGCTTGGTGATCTGTGGTCAGACATCCTTGTGTCGGGGAGAGATGCGATCACTGAGATTCCCAAGTCGCGCTGGGATGCAGATTTGCTCTATGATCCAGAGGGAGGTGAAGGGACAATCTATGTCAAAGAAGGAGGATTTATTGAGGATGCAGATGCATTTGACAACCGTTTTTTTGAAATCCCTGACCATGAAGTAAGTCTCTGCGTGACATATTGCAACGGGCGACGATCTAACCACCCTGTATCGCTGACGTTATCTGAGAACCGTATTTTCTTCAGGCCGCCCAAATGGACCCACAACAACGTCTTCTCTTGCAATCGGCATTCGAGGCCAGGGCCCCCTTGATGAAGGGCCGAGTCAGCCCAACGGATGAGACAGGGGTCTTCATTGGGTGTTCATGCGCCGACTGGTAAGTTCAGCAGCATTCCCTGGAAAGTAATTCTTCAAAGAAGTATGCCTGTACAATACAGAATGAAACTTTTTGGATGACTTTCGAAGACATCGTTTGGTCAGCGAGCAGCTGGCTGCGCTGTAGACCACACGGCTGTCCCTTTTGACGATGCGGATTCTTTGTGCCTTTCTTGCACTTGTTCAGGTTTCTTGTACATGCAAAACTTCATGGAAGGGAAGGCCCTTCGTGTTTCATTGCAGACCTTCAGCATGCAATGCTTGCCAATCGTATTTCGTATTGTATGAACCTTGAGGGGGCTTCGATGACAATTGACACGGCCACGTCTTCGGGTATCGTTGCATTTTGCACTGCTGTGAGTCATATAGAATCTGGAAGGATGATATGCGCCCTTGCTGGCTCATCTCAATTGATCATTGCTCCCGAGGTCACAGTAGCTTTGTGCAATCTGGGAATGCTCTCGCGAAAGGGCCGCTGCCGCCCTTTTGACGAGGCTTCCGATGGTTTCATTAGATCCGAGGGAGTCGTGGTTTTTTCGCTGGTCAGGGAAGATTATGTCGCGGACTATGTTGACACTTCGCTTGTGAGACCACTCGCATATGTTCGTGGGCATGCAATTGTTCACAGTGGGAGGGCTTTTTCCACCACAGCACCCAGCGAAAGTGCTGAGCGCCGTGTCATGGAAGGAGCTCTAACCAAGGCAAGCATGTCTGCCGAAGATATTGACTACATCGAAGCCCACGGTACTGGAACAAGAATGGGCGACGCAGTGGAACTTCAAAGCCTCGCGGCTGTCTTTGGAGGCTCTCACGAATCTGAAAGGCCTCTCCTTGTGGGTTCGATCAAAGGAAACATCGGACATTGCGAAGGCGCATCAGGTGGTGCAGGAATTTGTAAGGCTATTCTTGTGCTCATCAACCGCTGTGTCCCAGGCACCCTTCATTTCAATCGCCTCAGCAGCTTAGTAGATAGAATTCCGCGATACTTTTCCATCCCTCGTGCACCAACCAAATTTTCTGTGCCTGAACGGCCGCTTGTCGTGGGTATTAGCTCATTTGGAGTTGGTGGCTGCAACGGACACGTTATTTTAGAAGGCCCACCAACAGGCCAGCACGACTTTAGGACACAGCTGAATGACAAGTGTTACTGGAAGAAAAGCCGCTTTCCCTGGTCGCACCTAATTAGCGTGCCAGCAGGCAGTAGCGACGGGGTATCTCCTGTCGAGCTCATAACACCGGAGGGCTGCATTGCAACACCTTCTTCGTCCTTCTGCGGCACAAACTTCAGTGTTGCCGCGTCATCTGTCGACCAGGATGCTGGCCGTGGTGGTTCTGTAGTGTTCACTGACATACCCATTCTAGGACCTGGGAGTGGGATAAACAGCACGAGGGCCAAAGACGCCCTTCATGACAACTCATTGAGTCTGATGAATGGCTGCGATGGAATGATGCAAGCGGAACAAGCGGATCTCGGCGCTGTTTCGTCAAGCTTCGAAGATGTGGACGTGCTCCCTGACTCCGGCTCACGATCTCAGGGAATTTCCCCGGTTCCTGAAGTAGACAATGTTTCACAGCAGTCCCTAACACCACCAGCACCGTCCATATCTCGTGAACAGATCAGGGCAGCAGTTCACGAAGCCCTGAAAGTAGCCCTGGATCGCGATGAACCTTTACAAGAGAACACACCGTTTGTGGAAGCAGGAGTAGACTCGATGGCATCTATTGGAGTTAGGGAGAGCCTTTCAAAAAAGCTACATATGCAGCTTCCAGCAACCATTTTATATGACCATCCATGCATAGCTCAGCTGGTTCCGTACCTCCAAGAGATCTCTTCGGCAGCGCATGAAACGGATTTGAACCAGAAGATGCTACCTAGACTTGGGCGTGGTTCTGAGACAAGCGCGGTTGCAGTCACTGCATTAGCTTTCAGGCTTCCACCAGGGGCTCAGTCCGAGGCAGATCTTTGGGGTGCTCTTGAAGGTGGTCATGACTGCATTAAGCACATCCCCCTTACACGTTTCGATCCTTGGAAGTACAAGGACACTTCTTCAGGCTCACTAAATAAGCTTTATGTCAACGATGCTGGAATATATCCTTATATGGCCTTATTTGATAACGCACTTTTCAATATATCTATCGCCGAGGCTCAGCTAATGGATCCTCATCAACGCGTCTTGCTGGAAGTTTGCCATGAGGCAGTTTCAAGTACTACACAGCGAACAAACCAACTGGATGTAGCTATTGTCGTAGGCTGCTGCAACAATGACTGGGTGCGTGAGGCGTGCACCTCGACGCAGGAAGCGAAGAGCTTGAGTGGGACTGGTGGAGCTGCATCAATAGTTTCAAACCGGCTATCTTATGTGTTCAATCTACACGGACCAAGCATGACCATTGATACTGCTTGCTCTTCTTCCCTTGTAGCACTGGATGTGGCAAAGCAGTTTCTCAACGACAACAGGTGCAGCTCAGCGATTGCAGCAGGAGTTCATGTCTTGATCAATCACTACGTCTTTGAACAGTACTGTAAGGCTAACATGCTCAGCATTGATGGAAGATGCAAAACCTTCGACGCCTCTGCCAACGGCTATGTCCGCAGTGAGGGATGTGGTGCACTCCTCCTGCAGACGCTTCAACGCGAGTCTACAAAACCACACACTGTCTACGCCTGGATTCGGGGTACTGCCAATAACCACGTAGGCAGAAGCGCAAGTCTCACTGCGCCCAACGGCCCTGCTCAACAAGCAGTCATTCGAGCAGCTCTTCACAATGCCCAAGTAAAATCGCCTGCAGATGTGTCGGTGTTGGAGGCACATGGTACTGGGACGTCTCTGGGAGATCCTATCGAAATTGGAGCGATCCGCGCAGTCTACTGCAATGGCTTTGCAGACAGTCCCCCACTGATAGTGGGCGCCTTGAAATCGCTCATGGGGCATTCTGAAGGGGCCGCAGGCATCGCGGGACTCATCAAGCTAATTCTGGTCCTGCAACACAGAATGGCTACTCCAAATCTGCATCTAAACATGCTAAACCCACACATTGACGTGACTAGAAGCGACAAGTACAGAGGCCTCATGTTTCCGAGCAAGTGTGTTCCCCTCGATGGCCTGTTTGGGATTCACGAGTCGCAGCCACTGCTGGGTGCGGTGAGTTCGTTCGGATTTGGAGGTTCCAATGCTCACGCAATTGTTGAGGTGGCCCCCACGTTCAAGTCGACCTGGGCGGCAACTGGGGAGCCAGCCAACGCCACTTCGGGAAAACGCTGTGCCAGTACTGTGTGGCTATTTACTGGACAAGGATCGCAATACCTGGATATGGCATGTGCTTACTTCAACCATAGTGCTGTATTCAGAAACACAATTTCCGAATGCACCGCGTGTTTGAAGGAAATGCACTGGTTCCCAGAAAGAGGCCCTCAAAGTATTGAAGACATGATATATGGCGCAGGAGCGCAACCCGACAGGAAGGCAATGGAGGAACTCTTAAGCCAAACGCAATACTCACAAGTTGCTATCGTCGCCGTTGAGCTAGGTTTGAGTCACGTGCTTCTGGACCGCGGGATGAAGCCCGACGTTGTGATTGGCCACAGCTTGGGTGAATACGCGGCGGCCGCTGTTGCTGGCGTGATGGGATGGAAGGATGCCTTGCGTCTTGTTGCAAGGCGCGCATCGCTGCTGGCGGCCCAGCCCAGCAATGACGGAATCATGGTAGCTTGCCGGCTGCCAGCTGACAAAGTCCAAACTGCCCTCTCCGGCGACCTTCAACACTTGCACGCAGTCGCCCTTGCAGGGGACAATGCTCCACAAAGCGTGACGATTGCAGGAGCGAGGGATGAAGTGGACACGCTGCTTCGGCACCTTGGTGCTTCTGCTGCTGCCAGGCGCCTCCCAGTATCCCACGCTTTCCACTCTCCGCTCATGGCGGGTGCTGTTGCGGAGATGGAAGCAATTGTCAGCACAGTAAACCTACAGCCGGCGAGCATACCCATTGCTTCGACGGTTCGTGGGCGAATGCTTGACCCATCAGAGCCTCAAGATCCACATTATTGGGGCGGGCAGCTTACGCTGCCTGTCAGGTTTAGGGAAGCTGTTATGGCCGCGGTTGAGTCATGCGGTTTGGATCACATTATCTTTGTAGAGGTAGGGCCCCAGCGAACTCTCATTAATTTGGCTGCACAGACAATTGGTAAGCATGAGGGCCACACGGTGGAGATGTTCAACATGGTTGAAAGGGGCGAAGCAGCCGATGAAGAAACACTAATGGAGAGACTTCAGGAGTGCCAGCGCATATGCAGGGGCGACGACGATTCCATCTCCACGCACAAGTGGAACCACCAGTAAGGCAGTTTTCCCGTTTTTCACTTAGTTCGGAAACGATGACACCAAGCGTCGATTACCGTGGCCCTTCCAGTGGCGCTCCGCTGGTAGTTTTCGACAAACTAGCACAACAGTTTTTCCGCGTCCGCTTCGTTTTTTCGCAGGTCTTTTGAATGGAGGAAGATATCTCACCCACTCATCGACAGCGACACTGCAGATCTCAGTACTGAGCCAGAAAATGGCGTCGCAATTTGTGAAGCAAGCGTGCGCAACGGCACGCTGCGCGTTCTGAGGGACCATCTTGTATGGGGTATACCCATTCTTCCAGGCGTTGGCTTCATCGACGCAATGCTAGGTGCTGCTTTAGCTCGACATGGCTGCACATTTGGGGAGGCCTGCATCGAGCTGCAAAACGTAGCCATTCTCAAGCCGATGATTTTGTACGAAGGCCCTGAAACATGGGGAACCCGTATCGCTCATTGTCCAACCAGCCGGAGCGGTGTTCATCTGAAGCTACGGCTAGAAGAGGCAGAAGAATGCACGTACGCTACCCTTTCCTCACACCACGCTGGAGGCATCGCAGCTGATACAGCTCTCTCTGCTGAGGTTACTCATGCTGAAGGCTGGATTTCGGTGATGGAAGATGCAAGTTCTGTGAAGCCACCGCCACTGGATGTCGAGGGGAGCACTAAACGCCTGACTGAAAACATGACTCTGCATTACGGTGCTGCTGAAGCCTACGAAGAACTTCGGCGGCGTGGACTAGAATACGGACCATGCTTTCAAACTATTAAGGACATGTTGATTGCAGACACTTCTGCACTTGTAAAGCTGCAGTTCCACCACGAAGTCGCTGATTTCGAACGTAGCTTCATTTTGCATCCATCAATCTTCGATGGATGTGTGCAGGCCGCAGCACTTCTTGCATTCAGCGTGCATAGCTGCGCAACAGCCCTTGTGCCTGTTAGAGCCTCCGCAGTGCGAGTGTGGAATAGTACGTGTGCATTGAATAACTGCTACTGGGCAGAAATAAGCATGAAAACTGGTGGTAAGGACGCAACGACAGAGTCCGATGGTGCTCTCGTTTCCATCACTTTGTTTGATGACAGCGCCAATTCGATTGCACAGATTGGTACCATGTGCTTGCAGCCAGTAGTGTCGAATCAGATCTTTCCTGCGGAGAGGGACCTTGGACGTGGGCTATTGTGGGGCGAGAATTGGATCGAAAGAAAGGCATGGCAGACATATTCGAAGCCTGCTACGCAGAGGCGGGCAATGCATTGGCTTGTGCACGGAGTAGGGACTGAGGATTCTAGCCCATCGGTTCAAACAGTGGATTCAAGCACCACTATTGAGCTGCACTACGCCTCCAAGGCCTTGCGAAACAAGTGGGACAGCGTTAGTTTAGCTGAGTGGGATGCAGTGGTGCACTTCGGTGGCGCATGCCGAAGCTGGAGCACTGCAGAAGAATACATTGGTGATGTCGTGGATTTCCTGCAGAGTATAGCAGAACAGATTAATGGTAGTGGGTCTGAGACCCTACCTCCAGTGGTCGTTGTGGTTGGAGCTGCCTCCGCTGTGCTGCCCGAGGAAGAGGCCGCACACCCATTGCTTGCAGGAGTTCGAGGTCTATGCCGGACAGCACGTCTTGAAATGGAAGCAATTGCAAACCGTCCGGTCCCCCTTGTCCTGCTAGACATAGAGCCACTTCATTTGGAAACTGTGCATCCTACAGTCGACATGCTTCAGCAGGTCGCGTCGATTCTGCTTTCCCCCGGCTTCACAAAATACACTCAATCTTTCGCAGAAGACGGCCGCGAATATATCGAAACCGAGTTTGCTGTCCGTAGTGGTCGCGTGCTCACTCCTCAGCTTGTGTTCAGCGGGATCCAGCTTCTGCCGGTTGAGCGTGTGAAGTGCAATATAGGAAGCGGGGAAACATTCGTAATATCGGGCGGCCTTGGCGGGCTCGGTCTCACTGTAGCCCACTGGCTTGCGGATAACGGCGCCAATGCATTGATTTTGCTCTCCAGGACGGGAACGCCGCCACGTGATGGAGCCACGGCGAAACTTTGGCAGCAGCTCATAGAGAAGCATAGCGGTACACAAATCATCGTCCAAAGATGCGACGTTGCTCGCGTATCTGATGTCAAGAATCTGTTCGATGGCATTGCGCGGGGATGCCTTGTTTGTCACGTCACCAGCAAGGTATGCTTTGTAGGCCCGTTAAGTGGCATCTTCCATAGTGCAGGTGTACTGGTAGACAGGCCACTAGCTCAACAAGACCGAAGCTCTTTGGAGCTAGTATTCCGACCAAAGGTAGAAGGAGCATGGAATATGCACAATTGCCTCTCCGCGCTGGGGATGGAAGAGCGATTGAAGTACTTCGTAATGTTTTCGTCGTCGGTTGGACTGCTAGGGAACGCCGGCCAGGCAAACTATGCAGCCGCCAACTGCTGTCTTGATGAATTGGCAAGGTACCGGCGTTCGCGTGGTCTTGTTGCCCATAGCATTCAGTGGGGCCCATGGGTGGAGCAAGGCATGGCTACACAGCTGAAAGGGCGTTTTGCGAAGGCGGGATTTGGGGGAATTTCCAACCCACTGGGACTGCTGGCGCTCAGTGCAATTTTGCAACAAAATGTAGAAGTTGTTGTGGGATGTCAACCGCTGTACTGGAGCCGCTTCTTGCAGCGTTATAAATTCGGCATTCCAGTAGCCCTCCAACAGTTCGGAATGCTTGAGTCAGGTGCATCTAAGTCATCTGCCGACACTTCAGGCCACAAAGGTGGAAGTTTTGTAGAGCCTGCGCACAAAGCAAGTAGGGTGCAGCAAAAGGATAAGCGCGAGCGCATCAAACAGGCCATCATGACGGCTGCGAAGTCTGTTTTGAATGATTCTACCGACTTAAGTGCAGACGCTCCTTTACAGGAGCTTGGAATCGACTCTTTGGGGGCAATTGAGTTCCGAGACTCAGTCCAAAGCGCACTGAATGTAAGACTCAGCGCAACTGTTCTATTTGACCATCCAACTGTCGACGCGCTGACGAAGTTTCTTTTGCAAGAAGTAGGCGAGGATAAAGACACTGAAAGCAAGCCCGCTGCACTTGTCGAGCCGTCGACACCTTTTGAAGCTGCAGCAGGCGTCGAAGTTGCAGTAGTGGGAATGGCATGCCGTTTTCCAGGGTCGGACAGTGACCCCAGTGGATTTTGGAGGATGCTTTTCCACGGTGTAGATTGCATATCCAACATTCCTGAAAACAGGTTTGACGTTGATGGTTCATACAATCCAGACCCTGATGCTCCCGGTAAGATGTATGTGCGCCAAGGAGGCTTCATTGGATATATGGATCTTTTTGACAATCATTTTTTTCATATTTCCGATGGAGAAGCAAGACAAATGGATCCTCGACAACGCGTTTCACTCGAAGTAGCATTTGAAGCTGTTGTTGATGCCGGGTTCGATGGCTTGGAAGACTTGAAAGGTCTTCCTATTGACGTCTTTGTTGGTTCAATGAACCACGAGGACGTCTTCAAGGACCTCTCCTCCATCACAGCGTTCACAGCGACATCCAATGCCGTATCAATATTAGCAAACCGAATATCGTACTTCTACTCTCTGACAGGCCAAAGCGTGTCAGTTGATACCGCTTGCTCATCCTCCCTTGTTGCCCTTTGCCTCGCCCTACCATCACTCCATTCACAAGAAAGGACTGCACTAGTAGTTGGCGTTAACGCGCTTCTCTCAGCCGCTTATTTTGTTCAGACATGCAAAGCGCACATGCTCAGCATTGATGGAAGATGCAAAACCTTCGACGCCTCTGCCAACGGCTATGTCCGCAGTGAGGGATGTGGCGCAATACTGGTGAAGGCTCTACCGCGTCACTCCACAGACCCACGGGCTGTCTACGCCTGGATTCGGGGTGCTGCCAATAACCACGTAGGCAGAAGCGCAAGTCTCACTGCGCCCAACGGCCCTGCTCAACAAGCAGTCATTCGAGCAGCTCTTCACGATGCCCAAGTAAAATCGCCTGCAGATGTGTCGGTGTTGGAGGCACATGGTACTGGGACGTCTCTGGGAGATCCTATCGAAATTGGAGCGATCCGCGCAGTCTACTGCAATGGCTTTGCAGACAGTCCCCCACTGATAGTGGGCGCCTTGAAATCGCTCATGGGGCATTCTGAAGGGGCCGCAGGCATCGCGGGACTCATCAAGCTAATTCTGGTCCTGCAACACAGAATGGCTACTCCAAATCTGCATCTAAACATGCTAAACCCACACATTGACGTGACTAGAAGCGACAAGTACAGAGGCCTCATGTTTCCGAGCAAGTGTGTTCCCCTCGATGGCCTGTTTGGGATTCACGAGTCGCAGCCACTGCTGGGTGCGGTGAGTTCGTTCGGATTTGGAGGTTCCAATGCTCACGCAATTGTTGAGGTGGCCCCCACGTTCAAGTCGACCTGGGCGGCAACTGGGGAGCCAGCCAACGCCACTTCGGGAAAACGCTGTGCCAGTACTGTGTGGCTATTTACTGGACAAGGATCGCAATACCTGGATATGGCATGTGCTTACTTCAACCATAGTGCTGTATTCAGAAACACAATTTCCGAATGCACCGCGTGTTTGAAGGAAATGCACTGGTTCCCAGAAAGAGGCCCTCAAAGTGTTGAAGACATGATATATGGCGCAGGAGCGCAACCCGACAGGAAGGCAATGGAGGAACTCTTAAGCCAAACGCAATACTCACAAGTTGCTATCGTCGCCGTTGAGCTAGGTTTGAGTCACGTGCTTCTGGACCGCGGGATGAAGCCCGACGTTGTGATTGGCCACAGCTTGGGTGAATACGCGGCGGCCGCTGTTGCTGGCGTGATGGGATGGAAGGATGCCTTGCGTCTTGTTGCAAGGCGCGCATCGCTGCTGGCGGCCCAGCCCAGCAATGACGGAATCATGGTAGCTTGCCGGCTGCCAGCTGACAAAGTCCAAACTGCCCTCTCCGGCGACCTTCAACACTTGCACGCAGTCGCCCTTGCAGGGGACAATGCTCCACAAAGCGTGACGATTGCAGGAGCGAGGGATGAAGTGGACACGCTGCTTCGGCACCTTGGTGCTTCTGCTGCTGCCAGGCGCCTCCCAGTATCCCACGCTTTCCACTCTCCGCTCATGGCGGGTGCTGTTGCGGAGATGGAAGCAATTGTCAGCACAGTAAACCTACAGCCGGCGAGCATACCCATTGCTTCGACGGTTCGTGGGCGAATGCTTGACCCATCAGAGCCTCAAGATCCACATTATTGGGGCGGGCAGCTTACGCTGCCTGTCAGGTTTAGGGAAGCTGTTATGGCCGCGGTTGAGTCATGCGGTTTGGATCACATTATCTTTGTAGAGATAGGGCCTCAGCGCACGCTTGTTAATCTTGCGAGCCGAATTCTCCTGAACCAAAAATGTCTAGACACAAAATACTTTGAGATGTCAGGGCCTAACCAATGCTTGGCGGACCATTCTGAACTTGAAATGCGCCTTCAGCAGATATGCAATTCAGCCGTAACGCATTCTGCGTGCTCCTGGAACCACAAGTAAGACAATGCACATTGTCCTTTTCTCAAAATTCTCCATAGTAATCAAAGCAATATGACTTGATAGACGTCCTCTTTACAAAGACTTCGTGCGGAACAAAATCATGCGACTTCGGAGTTTTTGCGGTGTTCGATTCTCTCAGGAGGTTCCCCTTTCCATTTGAATCGATAAAAAGTAAATACAATCAAGCCAGTGCTGATTCAGCCGTAGAGAAGGAGCTTCAAGCGTTCCAGGGGCCGCTCTGGAAAATGACATGGAGAGATGGGATTTCTCAGGAATCATGCAGCGCTCTTGCCCAGCGAGCAAGGAACTGGTTGTTTTGTGGCGTTCCAAAAGAATATCTTTCTGCCTTTCAAAGTCTTCTTGAATCTTTAGGTATCAAAGAAGCCAAGATCGCAGAAGCCTTCAGCATCCAACAAGTGTCCTCTCTTCCCCGTTTGTCCTCTGGACGCGTTGCAGATGGAGTGATATTCGTGGGTGGCCTGTGGGGCTCTCATTCAAGCACATCATGTCTTGATGATCTTAGGAACATACTTCTTGCATACATCAAGTCGGCAGAAGATGATACATTCCTTTGCCCTCCCTTATGTGTGGTTACTAGGTGCAGCAACAGCGCTTTTGGAGTCCCCACTGATATCGACTCCAGCAAGCATGGTACCGATTTCCACATAAGGCACGCGGGGCTACTGGGAATGTGTCGCACTTGTCGGCTCGAAGTTCAAAGGTTCTGCAAGAAGCCATTTACGATGTTGTACGTAAACGTTGAAGAAGCATCTGTAGAATTTCTGGGAAAGGCTTGTGGCTGGATTGGCGCACAGTTTGAGTTATTGAGCCATAGTTCCCCTGCTTTAGTTGAGGAAGATGTCATCATCACAAGCACGAGTTATATGGTTCCCCGCCTAGTACAAGTCCCCACTAGCCAAGCACAAGACAGAGTACCACCTTCTGGAGCGAAAGCTTACCTGATTACTGGCGGCACTGGAGGATTGGGTCTAAGTGCTGCAGAGTGGCTACTGAAACAAGGAGCAGGCTTAGTTGTCCTCCTATCGAGAACTGGGAAGCCTGCCGGTGCACTATTGCAAACGGCAGCTTGGAGGGCTATAGAGGAAGGAATTCATGCAAAACGGGTTGAAATTATGCCTTGCGATGTGTCAAATTTTCAAGCTGTCAACGACATCCTCTCTAAAGTTCACCAAAACTTCCCCATTGGAGGAATATTTCACTGTGCTGGCATTGAGGGCGAGGCTAACCTCCAAGATTCGAATCTGCAAAGCATCGAATACGTGTACCAACCCAAAGTGAGTGGAGCGTGGAACCTGCACCTTGCTTGCCAGCAGTTGAACTTGGAAGCTAGCCTTGACATGTTCGTTCTTTTTTCCTCTATATCAGCCCTGCCCGGAAATGACGCTCTGGCGACTTATGCTGCTGCCAATGCATTTTTGGATTCGATGGCATGTTGGCGCAAGTCCCAAGGGCTCCAGGCTCAAAGCATTCAGTGGGGCCCCTGGAATGATGTTGGCATGGTCACAAGAAACAAGAGGCTTGAGCGGGTATTCGAGTCACGTGGAATTAAGCCATTCGTGCCTGTAGATGGTGTAAAGGTCATGGAACTGGCTCTGCGGATGAAAGAACCATGTGTATGCGCCTTGAATGTAAATTGGAAGAAATATTTACGAGCATTTGGCCAGTCGGTCCCACAAGCGTTCATAGAAGCGGGGTTGGAGAAGCTGGGTCCTTCTTCAGGCCACGAAATAGATGCTCATTCGAGGGAATCCATTGAGTCCACAGTTCTTGAAGCCGCAAAGGCATTGGTTGGTGAAGAACGAAATATCAGCGCAGAGACACGCCTAGACGAGCTTGGGCTTGATTCCTTGGGGTCTGTTGAACTTCGAAATATTATTCAGGAAAAGCTCTCAATGAGCTTACCAGCCTCTCTGCTTCTGGAGTATGGAACTCTAGGTGAAGTTATTGAGTACATATCAGAATGCCTCCATAGCCAGCTGTCCGCCAGTTCCATAAGTCGCCCATCAGCTGCAAGGCCGCTTCCCTCAGCGGAACTAGAAGGGTTTGCTGTAATCGGCATGGGCTGTCGGCTCCCAGGAAAGAGCAATTCACCTGAAGAGTTCTGGAGCATGTTGGTCGCTGGGACGGACTGCGTGCAAGATATTCCGTGGCAACGGTTCAACATTGAGCCTCTCTTTGATCCAGATCCTGAAGAAAACAAATGCTATGTAAGGGAGGCTGCCTTGCTGGATAACGCTCACCTGTTTGACAATGAGTTTTTCCGAATGAGTGAAAGCCAAGCGAGAAATATTGATCCTCAACAGCGCGTATTACTGGAAGTGGCTTATGAGACATTTGTCGACGCAGAATATCGGCAAGAAGACGTCAAGGGCCAAGACATTGGAGTCTTTTGTGCAACTTACACAAATGAATATCAACTGTCTAGTTTAACCAAGGGGGAAAATGGTATTCTTGCAATCGGGGAAGGCTCAGACGGTGGCGTGCCCCGGTTGGGTGAAGCTTCCGGCTACCCTGAGCCTGGTGGACTGATGTGCCTAATTCCCAATAGAATATCGTACTCTCTTGGCCTAATTGGGCCCAGCTTGGGAGTTGACACTGCATGCGCATCCGGTCTTGTGGCCTTGGACACGGCAATTATGAAGCTGAGACTCTCAGCGTGCTCAAAAGCGTTCGTTGGTGCGGTGAGCCTGATCCTGGTTCCTTGCTTTTTCCTAGGTGGCAGTAAGACGCGTCAATTTTCGAAGTCTGGGAGGTGCCGCACATTTGATGCTGCAGCAGATGGGCTTGTACGTGGTGAAGGGGCTGCTGGTATTCTCCTTGCACCGTTAGAGACTGCAAGGCGTGAGTCAAAGTTCGTGCATGCTGTTGTGCGAGGCTCAGCAGTATCGCACTATGGACAAGGTGCGCGTCTGACAGCTCCAAATAGTAGAGCCCTTACACGGGTTCTTAAGTTGGCGCTGGAGGATGGCAAAGTAGATCAGTCCATGGTCAGGTGCTACGAGGCACACGGCACGGCTACCGTTCTCGGGGACATTATAGAGATGAATGCGCTTAAACAAGTGTTTGAGGACAGACCAAAAGACGCTCCGCTTATCGTAGGCAGCGCCCACAACAATATCGGGCACCTAGATTCTGCCGCAGCTCTAGTTGCGTTCATGAAAACCGTACTTACGTTGAAGCATCGCTATGTCCCACCGAACATCCAATTCAAGAAGATGCATCCAGATATTGGCGCTTTCGACAGAACCAGTATAATTTACACTCGTGAAGGCCAAACTATTCACACTTCCGATAACCAAACACGGATTTTCGGAGCAAATCTTGCCTACGGTCTAGGTGGCACAGTGGTCGCGTCGATCACAGAAGAGGGTGACGATCCTACAATGGCACCAAAGGTAAGCTGCCATGGCGCTGTCGTTGGTTAGTTCTACTAAGGCAATTGTGAGTTCGACTAGTGTGGCGGAATTTTCACTTGTGGCTACACGATACTGTTGAAGAAGCTGCATTATTGAGTGGCACGAGAGTATCCGGACACGGGTAAGAGCAGAGCACAGCTGTGCAGAGTCTGTCATGATTTTGGATGCTGATTCAGCAACTCGAACTCCAAGTGCATACTGTGTTTGTGCGTTAGGTTACGCGGCATGTGTGGAAGCACAATTCGTTTCCACTCGATTCACAGAAGTTCGTCTTCTTACTGGGTGCAGCAGCACTGCTGGCCCAAGATCGGAAGCAGACTCCTCGGGATGATGTTGCGTACCTGGTGGATCACATTTGCAAAGATATGCTTAACAGGCATAATTTAGTATCATTGAAGCCATGCACACCTCCTAGTATTGTGTCCGAGATTTTTTTGACAGGAGCTACGGGCCTTACTGGAAGCCGAATTTTGTTTGGCTTGCTAGAGCAGAGGATAGATTGCGGAAAGGAAGTCCAAAGTCGATTTCCCCGCATCTACTGTCTGGTTCAAGCTCGTGACCGAATGCATGCGATGTATCGTATCGTCGATGCTGCTGTGGGGAGGGGCCAGAAATGGAAAGCCCGCTTTTTTGAGCAAATCGTGCCGGTTGTTGGAGACTTGAAAGCTCCCAGGATGGGCCTGTCCTCGAAAACATTTGAAACGCTGGCAACTAGAGTTGAGGCGGTGTATCATGCTGCAAGGGTTGTAGACTTTGCACAGCCGTATGAGAAGATCCGAAAAGCCAATGTCCTTTCGCTCCTGCCCCTAATAGAGTTATGCACCACAGGAATAGCTAAGCACTTCCACGTTTTATCAGACTTCGCGGCTCACATTCAGTACTTTGGAGCATTCGCTGGGGACCTAAACGTGTCTTTACCAGAGCAACTTTCCGTGCCTGACGAGCTGGTATGCAGAATGGAAAACCAAATGCCAGCGAGCATTATCGGTTATCCGTGGGCAAGATGGGCTGTAGAGGAGGTGCTTTTGAAGTGTCAACAACGGCTGGACGAGCTAAAGAAGTCTGCAACAGGAAGTTCTCACGACATCGAGAACAAGTTCGCCTTCACAGTGTACAGAATACCAAACTCAGCAGTGTACTTCAACAATGGCAGAATCGAGTTCTCAAATTCTTTCTTTGCAATTGTAATGGCTGCATTGCAAGAAGGTATCGTTCCTCCAGGCGTTTTGCCAGTAGGGCCCCCGTTCTTAACTACTCCCATTGATATATCAGCAGACATTTTAGTTAACATTTCAAGGTGTCCTGAACGCCCCACCGTCATCCACATCGTCAACCCCACTGGAGTTCGACGGTCAGCGATTATTGAAGCACTACAGAGCCTTGGTATTCCATTCCGGGAGTCATGCGAGGACGAACTTTTTCGGGGAATCGAAAAGAATCAGAACGGCTCTTGTGCTTACTCGCTGCTCCCTATAATGCGCGTACGTTAACCTTTGTATTATGGAAGAGTGCAATAAGGTTATATATGCTTCGCAAAATAATATTTCCGCCTTGCGTGAGTCCACAATTGTTCGATTTTGCTATTGTTCGATTTTTCAGTTCTGGAGACGCTACTGGTTTTCTGAAGACCTGGATAGGGAGGCCTTTCCAATTGAAATTGCAAACGTGGAAGCCTGCCTTCCCCATGCTTTGAAACGATTCCCGAGCGCCAGGGAAATTTGGACAAGGATGCTAGCCTACTGGTAAGATGACTACTTGCAGGCACTGTAGAAAAGATGCCTTCAGGTGAAGATACATTTGCGTGTAAACATTTATTTTGGCGGCACTTAAGATCTAGGCATTCATGGGTATTCTCGGAACTGAACAATGAGTTTGCTAGATGTCGAAGGCGCATATCATACTAGCCTTTCTGAATGAACCTTTGCTATAACTGTAGAGAAACATGAACTGAAAAACGATCTGCATTAATGAGGGCGATCTTCCACAATACAGCCGTTTGAAAGCCTTGACGCTCGCGGTGTGATATTGTTTCAGCTTGGCGAATTACCATCTCGTTAGGGATCCCTACGACACCATCTTGCCTAATGAATTCCTTCGTATTGTTGGAGCCTCCATTCTTTCCACAGCGTCATTTAAACAACTTTCTAGTCGCACTCAGGAGATGCTAGAGTCTGCACTCCATGGCAAAGGGGATGATGAAATTGAGCATGCGCTAGATTGGGAGAAAGCGCAGTTCTTATCCGGCTCATCTTTTAAATATCTTCCTATATCGGAATGAAGCTTTCTACTGATCTAATTTGAATTGCAGAAAACTAGCATCTATGTCACGGAAAAACGTTATTTCCACAAGTCTGCAAACGCTTCACGACTTCAGCGCCTACTTTGCAGCACGGTGGCGTAGTGTCATCGGCCTTATTTGATGTTCAATGCGCATTACCAATTGAACTCATGCAAGTTTTAGTAAGCTCATGAACTCGGCGTGGACTCTGAGGTACATCTAGCGCAATTTTTTGAATTCAAAGAAGTTGCAAGGCCAGCGTGCCTTTTACCACTAGTCGGCACATCCTTCGCGTTTGGTGGGTACCCTGCCCGTTGTTTGCCGAGCACTTTCTACATAAACAATACTTTTAGGAAGCAGAGGATACGAAGAATACAGAAAAGCTCTTCAGACTGACAGATCAAGAAGCACAGACTTTTGCAGCTTGCGTGGCCAGCTTCTTCAGTGCCTTTGATGTTGCTAGTAATCATATCCTTACCAAAACTTGAAAAAAAGCGAACAATACTGTCTCCTGCCCTCGCTTCCGCATGGGTCATTCCGCTATCCCATGTCGTGCATATTGAAAGCCACCCTACATGAATGTCAGCGACATATTGCCGAAAGCGGCAAACTAGCATCCAAGTGGCCTCGTCATCTGTGAATCGTCATTGTCGTGGTCGTGTGGCCGCACTTATCAGCTTGCTGGGTGTTGGGTGTTCCGTACTCTCCGCTGCTACGGCAGCGTCAAACTAAAAGTCCAGAACGGGTGTGACATCATCGCTAATATCCATTACAGCGCATAAGCAGGGAGAAACCAGAAATTTTCTGCAATACCCGTACCTACCTTACGGAGGGTTAACAAACTGGAACAGCGAAGGGCGAAGCAACCTGTTAAGACTTGGGATACAGCTTCTCTTGTATACACGCCATTCAGCCGTCATAACAGGATCCTAAAACGCCGCAGGTCACGCCTGACTAAGAGTTGAATTTGAAGCAATAGTTTGCGCCGTGGCAGGGAAGGTAGTCCCTGACTTTATAGCCATCGCCCTTCTTCAACTTCGTCACAAAATTGAGCTCACGAAGGGAAAGGGAAACTGTTTGGACCCGGATTTAAATGCAATCTGTGTTGGACCTTTGTCAAAACATAAATTACTCTTTCCAGGAACATGCGGCTTCCTAACAAGCACGGTACATGCACAGTCAGTAAGCACCTGTTGTACTAGTGCTCTTCCCTTCCATCACTTAAGCCAAATTCTTGCTGCATGCTTGTTTCATTGCCAGTGGACGAAAATGATCTGCTTCTTTCTCGATATCACAGTAATTAGAGCATTGCCAGGCCAATGTTAAAGGCCCGGCACAGGTATACTTCACAAGGGCCAGTATTCCGAGTTTGTTTGTGGGCATCTTCGCTGCAATCTCTCGGGAGATGAAACCCTATCCGCCACTCATATTTGAAGCTCCTCATGCGAAGGTTTGCACGATAACAATTACAAGCCATGCAGTTTTCGTTTTAAAAGAGCTCTCAGCGGTAGCTGGACAGCATCATTGTGGCCTTCGCCTTCGCACAAAAAACCCGGACCAGCAGGTCCAGTACGTTGTTGAGCGTATTGAACAAACGTTTCTTTTCTAAATTGCATAAATACACTGGAAGGAAACGGGTCATGGTCAATGATCCATTAGCTCCATCAGTCCCCATTGCATATGCTAGACAGTGCCGAGCTGAGACTGGTTTTTGCTTTGTCGGCCAAGTACAGGCTTCAAAGCATTACACCTGTTATCATCTTCCTCCTAGGTGCCTCTAGGCAGAAGATGGTTAAATTTTCAAAGCAGCTTTCTACAAGGATCAGATTGGGTGCATCTGGACGGGCGCCGTAGCCAACACAGCAATTGAACAAGGTAAACCTGAAGGTTATGCTGCGACAAAACCGCTACCTTCTGCAGGGGGCAGGGAACCATCGGCCATTTGGATGACATCACTTCTGTCACATGAAGCCGCTTGTGCTGAAGTACAGGCGTGCCTAAAGACACTGCCCACCAGCATAAAATCCGATCAATATGGGTGAGGTGACTCACATGGAACAGATAGTCGTCTGTTGCCCAACACGAAATGGAATACTAGCATGGACCACACACTGCATTGTTTCAGGTGGGTTAGATCTTTAGCCAGTGCTTGCTCATTTATTTGTTCTTTCCACCTGGCGCGAAGCTGTGCATAAGGTGAGAACGGAAATATTTCATGATGGCGGGCAACAAGAAATGCACTTGTTTGACTTTGAGTGTCAATAGAACATCTTCAGCTTGCTTCAATCTTGGGGGAAATTCCCGATGGAATCTCGCGGCAGTGTACTGCGCTGTGCCCACACCCGTAGCTTCACAATGGCCTGCTACGGGTGTGGGCACAGCCTAGAACAGCACTCCAACGTCCGGATGCAGGCCAGCACGGCCTTAACGCCGCGTAGAAGACATGCGACAAAAGCTGCATCGTACAAGACCTTTGAATGGATGGAATAAGGGAAACACGGCCGAGGTTGGCCGCAAAGGAGCTCGGTAGAAGGTAAGGCAAGGGGGGTGGTGTTCTGGGTCGGTCGGGGGCGCCACAGACTCCTGCGCGGCGGAAGTTACAAGCTTGAAAGAAGTAGTAGCTCTTTAGAAATTTCAAATTAATGTTGTTACGGCGGCATGCTGCTGCAAAGTCAATTCTTTGCGGGCTTTTGTCGTTGCTGTCGCCGAAAGTTAACACTGCAGGGGGCCGAGTGGGCACTGTTTAATCCGTTGTCGCGCACGCGTTTCCTTCTTTCTGTTTATTTCAGCATACAGAGTAGCAATATTTTGGTTTCTTTTACCTACACCGATCCAGGTACACCAGGGCCCTCTTTACGGGTCTGCTTATCGCTACCTAGGGTGCAGGTAACCAACTGACCGATTCCGTAGTCGTATTGTCTGTGTCTCTTTGGCGCCAGTTTCTCTCTTTTCGGAGCCTTCTGTGGCCAGCAGCAGCCCTTTGGAGCCTGCTGCAGCCTGCTGCAGCCCGCTGTACCCCTCTGCTTCCCCCACAGTTCGTTGCAGCTTGCTGCAGCGTGTTGCTGTTTGTTGCTGCTTGCTTCAGCGCGTTTTTGCCGGCTGCAGCGTACTTCACTTTGCCAGGCCAGCCACAGCTTTTACTGCAGGGCAATACCCTCTAAACCCGACACCAGGCTGGCCTATGCGCGAGGCTGGAGGGGCCCCAGCAGCTTGGCTCCCTCTGTACAACTTCTTAGTCAAGACTTGTGCAGCTCTAATGTTCCTGGCTCTTGTTCAGCACTTGGAAGGGCCCCGGCGATGCGCAGGCCGCAGTGGGCTTGCCCAGTCCACGGAAGCAGCCCGCTGCCTGCAGTAGCAGCAGCAGCAGCAGAAGCAGCAACGGGAGCAGCAGCAGCAGCTTCCCTAATTGAAGAAGACCCCGCCACAACTGCTGCACCTCCGGCACTTGCAGGGGCATGCTGCTGCTCGCAGCCATTTGAACAAGGCCAGCTGCATGCGCAGCTGGAGCGTGGAGCGCAGCAGCAGCTGCAGCAGCGGCAGCAACAGCACATGTCGGACTCCGCAGAAGCGCACTGTGGTGCCACGAATGTCTGCTGCACTTGCAGCCAGACTCAAAGCAACAATGCCGGCTGCGCCACCGCCGCTGCTGCTGCTGCTGCTGCTGCTGGCGGGCCCCAGAACAAGAGGCCTCTGAGCAGCTACACTGGGCTGCATGCAAGATGCCGCCTCCCCCGCAGAAGCTGGGGCCGAAGCAAAAGCAGCAGCGGCGGCGCGATTGCCAAAAGCAGCAGATCTGCAGCAGCTAAGGACTCTGCTGCTGCAGTGCCGCACGGGACAGCACGCGGAAGAGCAGCAAGTGCAGCGTGCGCAGCACGCTTATGGCCAGCTGCTGCAGCAGTGCCCCCACCTGCTGATGGCAGCAGCAGCTGCTGCGTGGACTGCTGCTTTGCTTCTTCACCGAGGCAGTCCGTTGCTGCTGCTCCTTTAGGGCTGCCCGGAGGGCCCCCAGTATCTACCGAGGAGGCAGCTGCTGAAGCAGCAGCAACAGCCGCAGCACCTTTGTCAGCAACTGCAACACTTGCACAAGCCGCACCTGCAGCCGTGGCAACAGCACGGGAACCGGCAGCAGCAGCAACAGCACCAGCAGCAGCAGCAGCAGCACCCACGGCACAGCAGCCAGACGCTGCGCCACAGACCGCCAGTTTTGTATCTTTTGCACAAACGCCTGAAGTCGAGGCCCGGCGAGCGCCCGCCGCAGCAGCAGCAGCAGCAACTGCTGCGGTGCTGAGAGAAGACGGGCAACGGCAAGCCTTGGGGGGTTGGCAGGTGCCTCTGAGCCTTCCTGTGCCGCTGTTTCTGGCTCCTGTGTCGTACACGAAGCGTGTGAAGGCAGCAGCTGTTGCTGCTGCTGCTGCTGCTGCGGAAGCTGCAGCAGCTTTTGCTGCAGGGGCCTCGGAGTCGGCGGGAGCAGCTGCGGCAGCAGCAGCAGCAGCAGCCAGGGGTTCCAGACGGAAACGATTTCATTTGGAGGATGCGGTGTTGCTACTGCAGTTGGCATTTGACCTGCAGCAACACTCCGTGCTGCTGCCGACGCTGCACGTCGTGGGCTCGGATGGGATGCCTGCAGGTCTGAAGCCCTGTGGGGCCCTTCTGTGCAGCGGCCGCAGCCGCAACAGCAGCAGCAGCAGCAACAGACGCGCCAGTCGCTTCAGCTGCGGTGCGCGAACACTCTCTGCTGCTTCTGCTGCTGCAGCAGAACGCATGAGGCTCCAACAGACTGTAGAGGCCATTGAGCCTGGCTGCACTGAAGTGCTGCTGCCGCACTTGCCTGTCATTACACCTGAAGAGCTGCAGCAGCTGCATGCAGCAGCAATCCGCCTCTATGGTGAAGGGATGGTCCCGTCCTTTTGGCAACAGCAGCTTTTTTTGAATCAACAGCAGCTGGGACAGAACTACGCGCAGCAACAGCTGCTGCACCAGCTCCAGCAGCTGCAGCTCCAGCAACCCCAGCAGTGGCAACTGCAGCAACGGTGGCAGCGGCAGCAGCAGTGGCAGCTACAACAGCAGAGGCCGCAGCAGCACTGGCAAGTGCAGCAGCGGTGGCAGCAGCACCAGCAAACGTCCCCCAACAACGCAGTACGGCCGAGCACAAGGTCCATGAACGTGAAGGCTTCCAAAAGGCAGTGGCAGCAGAAGCAGCAGAAGCAGCAGCAACAGCAGTTGCAGCAGCAGCAATATAGATTTTCTTCCGGAACTGGTCGGCACAACCACCGGCGTTCTGCAACCAATCTGTGTGCGTCTGTTACTACACCAGC